GGGTTGCTTTCCAATTACAGCATTATTGCGCATTATGCGGCATAATGCTTAACGTTGAGTGTTCCAACTACAGCAACGCTTCGCACAATTGAGCACTCTCAAAAGTGATGCTTTCGTGTGATGCGTGCAATGGTACCAACTTAGAGAAAGAAAATTAACAAGTGTTTTTTCTTTAAGTTGGCATTGATCGAAATGTTTTATTTATATGTTATCGTTAGTAATATTATTCATTGTTGAAAAATTATTAAAGCTTTCGTTTCATTAAATAGTTTTTTTTAAATAATCAAAGTTCATTCAAACTGTTAAAAAATAAATATAAGTATGGATGAAGGTACAAACATTGACTTTTTTTTTCAACACTGAACTAAGCGCACTCTGCTGGTGCATTTGAAAACTAATTCACGTTCCAATTAAGCGTCAGCATAATTGGGCATTGTGTGGCACTGAGTCGCATTATGCTCTGTAATTGGAAAGCATACTTTATGTGCCTGCTTATTTTGTGTTTTTTTTAACGCATGCTGTGGCTACCTTAATTGTAAGTGCAGTAAGCTATAAGCAATTTTAGCTTGGTTTGTACCAAGAACGGCTGTAACTTATGTTGGTGGCCCTTATAATAAATAAATATATTGTGACACGAGAATTTTATATATGGTATTAATATTATAGTTTGCAGTTTTACTTGGTTTTTGTCAGACGAGGAGTGCTGGGGGCAGGATTATGAATGAATCTCTTATCTATTAGACAAGTCTGTCCGTCCGTCCGTCTGTGGTGCTGTTTCAGCGGCCAAACCGTAATACCGGCCATACACACATGCAGTCCGAACGGTACCGATAAATCCTAGCGTGTATGTTATAAAACTGCACAGTTTCCTATACTAAACGATATCGTATAAACTGTTCCGTTTGAACTGTACAGTCTGATCGTAACGATTTCTCGTAGTGTGTATGGCCGGTATAAGAGATAGATAAAGAGAATGTTTAAGTTATAAGTTAAGAATAGTCTGATAAGACTACAAACCGGATTTGAGTAACGTAGCACTTCCGGTTTTCGAGAAATCACGAATTTCAAACGAAACCACACAAAATCTCCGAAGTTCTCAATTAATTAAATACTTAATTTTATTATTTAATTATTTTTTAAATCAGGTTTTGGTGAACATTTGGTTCACTGGTTTGCTAGTATTTGTATAATTTCAATAAAGTATATATTACAAGAATAGTGACCGCTCGTGTTATCTTTACTTTCTTAGAAATCCCACTGGGACCAGACCCCTCTTTCCCAGTGGGCACTTTGGGCAAGTGCTCAGGGCCCCGCGATCGATAGGGGCCTCCTCAGATCAAATACAAAGTCCCTAGTTCCTGTTAAATCACCAAACGGGGGTCATAGGGGCCCCATTATCCTAATATACCCAGGGCCTCCAATAGGTCAATACGGCACTGACAGGGACCAAACATTTTTAAGGGTTAAAAAGTATCCCATGTCTCAATCCAGGTCATAAACTACGGAACCTACGAAATTTCACCCAAATCTGCTCATTACCTTTTGCGTGATTGAGTGTGATGATGGTTGTCTGATGAATATGAGCATTTGCACGCCAGTCATGGATGTTTGATATACATTTCTATATCATCATCATCATCAGCCTATTAATGTCCCCACTGCTGGGGCACAGGCCTTCCCTATGGATGGAATAGGGAGATTGGGCCATGACCCACCACGCGGGCCCAGTGCGGATCGGCGGGTGCTAACGACTGCAGATGCAGCCGGGACCAACGGCTTAACGTGCCTTCCGAAGCACGGAGGAGCGAGAGACAGTAAATTTTTGGTCACCCATCCAATGACCGACCAATGCGAAAGTTGCTTAACTTCAGCGATCGCAGCCGAACGCGCTAACCACCCACGCTCATGCCTCATCATACGTTAATTCAGTTAAAACTCATCAAACTAGATATGTGAAATAAAACAAGATATTTTCGAATTAGAATGTATTTTATTATATTAAATATAAATTATCTATTGTCATAGCTACTATGTTATCATTTTAAACAATAAGACATATATATATATGAATGCAATATTGAAATAAATATACACGCGAATGGTAAACATTTAATACAAAATATAAATTGTGACAGATATAATTAAAAAAAAAAACACTGGTATAATGCAATTTATGCTCGAAGACTTAAAAGTGTCTTTAATAAACTTTTAAACCATTATTTAGTTTTAAAATAATATTTTTTTATATGTAAAGATATTTTAATTTATAAATTTGCTTAAATAATTTTCTTTGATTTGAAGCAATTTCAATCTTATTCGTTAAAAAATAAGGTTGATAGCATTGGGATTATTGCATAGCCCCATTGAATTGAAAATACCAAGACATATTAACGAGAAATCCTTGCTCTTTGTCAAATCAATACAATTTTCTTCGGTTTAAAGGATTTTGATTCTTATTTGATATACTATAAGGTTATCAACAAGCCAGTATATTGTTCATGGCTTATTGCCTCTCTCGCTAGCATAATAGAAAAAAATCAAAAAAATAGGGTATTTTCCAAACTTTTGAAAACTGCTTATATTCAAAGATTGGGACAAACGATTTAACAGAAAAATAAAAATTAATTAATAGAAAATATAACTAGAAAAAATTCCACGCGGATCAGGCAGCAGAAGGGACTCGAACTATCCGGGCGAATGCACTGACCAATTATGTTACCGCGGCCCTGACGGCCGCGTCGAAATTCCTCTAGCCATTCTTAACCTGCAAGGCAGCGCCATCTCTTCGCATTGTAGGTAACCCACAATGTCAAATGAATACTTTTACAAGTATTCAACATTTGAAAGAAGAAATAGCAATTATAGATATATATATGTATATATTTTTTTTAAGCATGTAACTGCTTCATGTTTAAATCTAAAGAAAACCGTCCCGTCTGCTGCCTGGTCCGCGTGGAATTTTTTCTAGTAATATTTTCTTTAGATTTAAACATCAGGCAGTTACATGGTTAAAAAAAATCTTATATATAAAATTCTCGTGTCGCGGTGTTTGTGGTTAAACTCCTCCGAAACGACTTTCCCGATTCTCATGAAATTTTGTGTGCATATTGGGTAGGTCTGAGAATCGGACAACATCTATTTTTCATCCCCCTAAATGTTAAGGGTAATCCACCCCTAAAGTTTTTTTTTCAATTTTAGATGTTTTTTTTTAATTTTTTTTTATGATACATCATACAAAACTATACATACAACCCTAAATTTTCACCCTTCTACCAACAACCCCTATTTTTTTATGGCGGTACGAAGTATGCTGGGACAGCTAGTATTATATAAATAGTTATTTATTATACAAGAGTGGAGAGTTCCTTTTTAACCGCGTGCTCGATTTGGATGACCGAACAAGCGAAGGAAACAAACGAGCACAAGGTGAAAAATCTTTCCACTCGAGTGCAATACGTAACTTTTCATCCCACCTCAGCGAGGAAATGACAAAATGAAAAAGAAAACAATTTATAATGACAAAATATTTAAGCAATAAAACGTGAAAAACTAGAATGGCGCGAAGCACGCAAATAAAACAAAGAAACCAAGAAGGTTCCAAATTTAAATTTTTTCACAATTTAAAAAGTTCTAATCATAAATTTGGCACCATAGAGGTTACATTAAATAGGTTTAATGACGTTTTGAATTTACAATTATATTGAGTACTCATTATATGTGATGTTCTAAATTCAAATCTACTTTGCCGCTCAAGCGAATAAAATAGAATTTTCCAGCCAGATTTCGAAGCGCAAAATTACACTTTCCGAGGTGGTGGGATGAAAAAAACATTAATTGATGTCTTTTTTTCTCCATTAGACCAATTAAAGTTGAATTTATTTTAATGGTTTTAAATTTACCGCCAAAGCGCTCGATTCGATGACGTCTACTGTGTGACGTCAAATTTGTGTAAAAAAATTTAACACCTATGTAGTCTGTGGTCGATCTGTGATTACGGAGTGGTTTAATGGAGAAAATAAGACATTAATTAATTAATTTATTTTTCTGTTAAATCTTTAAATATTAGCAGTTTTCAAAAAAAATGGAAAATACCCTATTCAATACACTTTTCATTGTATTTAAAGGAATTTGATTCTTATTAGTTAGACAATAAGGCATCGATAAGCAAGCCAGTAAATTCACTTTTAAAAAACCAACGCAATTCGATAAAACACACGTTTTTTCGTGTAATCAATGAATATCACTGTTTTCCAATGGAATTTCATCTTTTTCACGCCGGCACTTCGCTTGGGTATTCGTGTTAGCTATTTGTAAACTTCACTGTCCTTATCATTCTTAACAAGGGCAGACGTAGTAAAATTTTTTGAAGCGAAACTTCTTTACGGACTGGGTGTAAATTGAAAAATGCTATAGAAAAGGTGACACGGAAATGCGTCACGAACGTCACATGGCCACACAGACATATATATATATATATATAAGTACTAGCAAACCCGGCGAACTCCGTTTCGCCACCAGATGGCTTCGTTTTATGTAACATTTCGTTTGGTGATTAATAGAAGATTTTTTTTTAATTTTTCCTGATTTTTTTTTTGCTATAAACCTCACGGAGCCCGAGACCTTTCCAACGAATGCAAAACCGTGGAAATCGGTTCGTGCGTTCTAGAGTTATAGCGTCAGGAAGGAAAACCCGACTTATTTTTATATATAAGTATATGTTGCGTCTTATATGGCGATTTATGCTATCGATCCTGCGTCCGACCGATTAACCTAGCCTCATTTATATATATATGTTTGGGGGGGGGGGGGGGCCTTCTCGAAAGCTGAAACGCTACGAGCGTCACACGCCACAATATATATATATATACATATATGAGTGCTGCGTGCTCTGCCCCATTCCCTTACCTTATGCACCGCCTAATGTAAGGTTATTTAGGAAGCCAAGTTTTACTTCAGATGTTCTTCAAGTTTACGAATAGCAGAACCGAATATCCAAGTCAAGAGGCGAAATCAAAGGGATTACGAACTTATTTCTATGACGATAAAGTTCATATTGGATCAGCAAGCCAATAGTTCGTTCATGGCCCTAGTGCCTCCCTCACTGGCCCAATACACTGCCCCACAGCCGGTTATGAGGGCCCAAACGTAGGGGGTGAAGAATTCCCCTGGCTTCTCTTCCTCTACGTAGCGGAACTTGAGGTCGGGGAATTTCTGGGGGGAAGAAAGCAAAATACCGAATTACATATATTCATCTAAAGGAAAGGTTAGTAGAAAAATAACGACGGGTTGCACTCCGGGAGTGCCGGCAGAAGTGAAAACTTGAATATTAACGTTGTGCATTTTTGATGTTTTGGAATGGTTAGGGAATAATTGTGCACGAATTGCTTTAATTATCAATATAAAAGTACTATCTTGTATGTGGTAGAATACAATATTTATTTATTGCGCTATCGTACACAAACATGACAATTTATATTACATTAAAAAAGTTTATCTCTCAGAAAAATCAACTTACATGAATCACATTTAAGCGCACCTAGCGACATCTATTGTAAAAAAAATGCATTTTCTTCGCAATAAAGCTGCCACGTGGACGTCCTAGATAGAGACTTATTATTATAATACGATAAAATAAAATATTACTGTTTCGTCCAATATATTGAAAGTCAACAACCTTTCCAATTATATTGTGTGTCATGATGCGATCAGCCCACGTGTTTAACCTGACGCGAGTTTAACATATTTTACCATACAAAAAAAAGTGTACAACGCCGCTAAAGAAGTTTTCACGTCAAAAATCCACGCGGACCAGGAAATAATAAAAACATAACTACATATTTTCATATTTAAAGCATTTAACTGCTAGATTAAATGCTTAAATCTAAAGAAAAATTTACTAGAAAAAAATCAACGCGGGCCAAGCTGCAGACGGGACTTGAACCCGCGTCCTCTGCTATCCGAACGGATCCAATGATCATTATGCTACCGCGGCCCTGATGGCCGTGTCGAATTTTCTCTAGCCTTTCTTAGGCTGCAAGGCAGCGCCATCTCTTCGCATTATAGGTAACCCACAATGTCAAATGAATACCTTTACAAGTATTAAAAATTTGGAAGAAGAAGACATAGCAACTACAGTTACATTTTTAATTATTTATGCATGTAACTGCTGGATATTTTCAATCAAAAGAATTTTTCTTTCATTTAAGAAATACCAGAGAATATTCGGCACTACCATCAGGGCCGCGGCAGTATAATGGTTAGTGCATTCGCCCGGATAGCGAAGGGTGCGGGTTCGTTTCCCGTCTGCTGCCTGGCCCGCGTGGAATTTTTTCTAGTAAAAATTTCCTTAAATATAAAACTATATGTATGTCAAATTTAGCCAAATCCCTTTTCAGCTTTCTGCACACAAATATAACAAGCTTACACATTTATTTTCATAGTGGGATCAGTGTAAATGTGATGCACCCTCCTCGCTCTGCCACCCCTATTCAAAGTCTCACCTGCAACCTATCGCTGGACCATTGTTCCGCGCCTTTCTTGATACATTGCAACACTTCGGCGACGCTCAAATCACCGCCGGCGCCATCTTGTACTCTCTGGAGGCGGGACGAGAAATAACCTATCACCTGGGAGTGGGAATAAAATCTTTATATTAGTAAATATAACTCTTAAAGTCGGGTCTCTAGCGCATGTTTTGCCTTACACAATCAACAAAAACAATAGGGCATTTGACAGTATTAAAAATAAAGTGCCAATTGTTAGCATCTGTGTTTAGAATGAATATTGGCAGGGATTTTAACTATTTTTACAGAAAAAGTATTCATAATTGTACTAAAAACTCACGAAAAAGATAATAGTTTTCTTATCTATTGTCACGTGACCCAAAACGCTTGGGATTGGCGGAGCCTAAAATGACGTCACACGCAAGTAAACTTCCGGTTAAAGTGACATTACATTGTATCGTTTGACGTTTTAATGACAGTCGTGTGACGTCACACACTAGTAAGACGCCATATTGTCCGGAGAAACGTTTTTGCGGCAACTTGAAAATGGTGGTTTTTATTTGGTTATTTTTAGTGAAATAAACAACAGAATGATAAATAGTCATCATTTTTACGGATTCCATAAACATTAATCAATAACGTGAGATCGTTTTCTAAAACTTGTCAAATACCCTATTAAAAACTGTTTTAGAAAATCTTAATATATATAAATCTCGTGTCACAATGTTTGTCCTCAATGGACTCCTAAACCACTGAACCGATTATAATAAAATTCGCACACCATGTGCAGTTCGATCCAACTTGAGAGATAGGATAGTTTAAATCTCAAATTATAGTCGCAATTTTAATTTATTGCAAATTATTATTTTTGGGCGGTACGAAGTTCGCCGAGTCAGCTAGTCATTAAATAAAAATGATTGTTTTGCTCCGTGGCCACGTGACCGAAAGCGCCTGGCTCGAAATATTCTATTACCATAAGACAAGCTTTTCAATCTAAAAATAAAACGTCTAAATGTAAAAGGCAATTATGTATATTGACGACCTCCTTGGCCGAATGGTTTGTACGCCGGGTTACATTGTGTCGCCAACTCAAGAGGTCCCGGGTTGAAATCCCGGTGGGGGCAGATGTTTGTGTGATGAATACGAGCATTTGTACTCCAGTCATGGATGTTTAATATGTATTTCTATATAAATATACTTATATATGTACAGTATATGTATTCTATCCGTTACCCTAGCATCCCATAACACAAGCCTTACAGAGCTTACTTTGGGGCTAGGCTAATTGGTGGGTTGGAAAAAAAAATGTAAGTCAAACATTGAAATCTAAGAGTCAAATGTGAAAGTCAACTGTCTAAATCTAAAGAGTCAAATATGTAAGGCAATTTTCTAAAACTAAGAGTCAAATATGTAAGTCAATTGACTAAAACTAAGAGTCAAATATGGAAGTCAGCTGTCTAAATCTAAAGAGTCAAATATGTAAGTCAATGGTCTAAAACTAAGAGTCAAATATGGAAGTCAACTGTCTAAATCTAAAGAGTCAAATATGTAAGTCAAACATTTAAATCTAAAAGCCAAATATGGAAGTCAATAGTCTAAATTTAAGAGTCAAATATATAAGTCAAACATTTAAATCTAAAAGCCAAATATGGAAGTCAATTGTCTAAATCTAAGAGTCAAAATTGTAAGTCAAACATTTAAATCTAAAAGCCAAATACGGAAGTCAATTGTCTAAATCTAAGAGTCAAAATTGTAAGTCAAACATTTAATTATAAAAGCCTAATATGGAAGTCAATTGTCTAAATCTAAGAGTCAAATATGTAGGTCAAACATTTAAATCTAAGAGCCAAATACGGAAGTCAATTGTCTAAACCTAAAAGTCAATTTTCTAACAAATTGTCCATTGGCGTAGAACAAGATGGGTGACCGTCCAGCACTCACCATCTCGATGTTCTGCGTTATCGGCTGCCTCGAATGGTGCTCGAACAGTTTCCGTTTATGAAGTAGCGCGTACACCAGATGCAAATTGTTGGGTAGCTGTCGCGTCAGACACGAATTGACGATTTCTAGCAGCATTCGGAGTACTTCATCTAACACGCTGATGTGGTCCATCTGGACAAAAATTGGGCTGATTATTGTATCTACTTTAAATTAGATTTTCGGATCTAAAATACATATGTTGATAGGAGGAAATATATAGATTGCATGTTTCATATTGTACAATATAAAACATGAAATCTGTGTATAATGCGATTCAATTAAGAATAGGAAAGCCAATGACCTCCATCTGTCAAATGTCGCTTGAAAAGTACGATTTGCAAAAAAATCTTGGAACCCTTTTTTAGCACTCTCCTAATTCTAGAATAAAAACCACACATTTGTAAACATATATCTCTTATCTATTAGACAAGTCCGTCCGTCCGTCTGTCTGCGGTGCTGTTTCAGCGGCCAAACCGTAAGAGATAGATAAAGAGAATATTTAAGTTATAAGTTAAGAATAGTCTGATAAGACTACAAACCGGATTTGAGTAACGTAGCGCTTCCGGTTTTCGAGAAATCACGAATTTCAAACGAAACCACACAAAATCTCCGAAGTTCTCAATTAATTAAATACATTTTTATTTTTATTTTTTGACGTGACAACGTCTTAAATTAGGTTGCGGCTGGGAGTCACTTATGAAAAAGTGTAACGCTCGGTAACGTTACGATGAGTCTCTCGTGTTAAGTTTAAGTTTACATGTACAATGTTTTAGTAAACAAAATATATTTCTATAGTTAAAATTTGTGCAATTCTTATTTTCATTCAATTCCTTGTTCCTATTGTGCAATTTAATTATATTCATATCAATAAATATTCTACCGAGAAAAAGACGTTGTCACGTAAAATCTTCGCCCGTAAAACCGACTTTACAGGCAACCATTTTTTTTAAATCAGGTTTTGGTGAACATTTGGTTCACTGGTTTGCTAGTTGATAATTAATATTGGTTGATATTTTTTTTCATTTATTGAGCTTTGGCTATGAATGGTTGATAACTTAAATCGTCAACCAAATGTCACTTTAAGTTGCGGTTAGAAACTCAATTTAAAACTTTCGTTTACCTAAAGGATGCATGTTCGTATGTGACCTAGTAATAGTGCATGATTATTCATAACTACTCCGGCGGTAATGCAGAGATGAGCGGAATTGAAGAGCTAGATTCGGATTTATGTTTTTTCTCACACAGTCTTAATAAAGAAATATTATTAAAAATTAGTTGTTTTTTTTTCTCAATCTCAGTAAATATTTTAATAAAATAATCTGATGTTTTTTCTCACTTAATCTTAGTAAATAAGTTTTATTAAATAATAAAACTTTATTTTTGCTCACTCTACCCATTTGGTTCGAATTGACAGCTATGACGTCAAAATATGGCGCCCAGTCGGTCCTATTCTTAGTTGAATCGCATTATATTTCATTTCCCATGGTGCCAGTTTTTGCAGGAACAACCTGCTGTCAAAATTGCAAGTAATAATAAATTGCACATAAATAGCCATGCGAAGTGACGGCTTAACGTTGTAATAAAAACTAATTTTGTCGAATTTCCTTTTCGATTTAATAAATTGTTATCATTAGATTTAAACATCTAAAAAGTAACTATAATTGCTATTTCTTCTTTCAAATGTTTAATACTTGTAAAAGTATTCATTTGACATTGTGGGTAACCTACAATGCGAAGAGATGGCGCTGCTTTGCAGCTTAAGAAACTTTAGAGAGAATTCGACACCGCCATCGGTAGGGCCGCGGTAGCATATTGGTGAGTGCATTCGCCCGGATAGCGAAGACTGCGGGTTCGAGTCCCGTCTGTTGTCTGGTCCGCGTGGAATCTTTTCTAGTAATATTTTCTTTAAATTTAAACATCGAGCAGTTATATGCTTAAAAACATATCAGCTGAAATTTTCAACCGTTAAAAGTATCTGATATTTTTATTCAACTATAAACTTCATCATCATCAGCCTATTAATGTCTCCACTGCTGGGGTACAGGCCTTCCCTATGGATAAAACAGGGAGATTGGGCCATGACCCACCACGCGGGCCCAGTGCGGATCGGTGGGTGCTAACGACTGCAGATGCAGCCGGGACCAACGGCTTAACGTGCCTTCCGAAGCACTATTAACTTATAACTAATTATTTTTGAAGTGAAAACTTCTTTAGCGGCGTTGTACACTTTTTTTTGTAATGGGTAAAAAATGTTAAACTCGCGTCAGGTTAAACACGTGGGTTGATCGCATCAAAACGTGATTCATGCAAGTTGATTTTTCTGAGAGATAATTTTTTTTAATGTAATTTAAATTGTCATGTTTGTGTACGATAGCGCAATAAATAAATATTGTATTCTGCCACATACATGATAGTACTTTTATACTGATAATCAAAACAATTCGTGCAAAATTATTCCCTAATCATTCCAAAATATCAAAAATGCACAACGTTAATATTCAAGTTTTCACTTCTGCCGGCACTCCCGGAGTGCGACCCGTCGTTTTTTTTTTTAAATATTAACGCCACTTCTAGTGTGAAGGCTAAATTTATTATTTAGTTAATTTCCATTGCAATACTTACTATTTCCTCCGTCTTTTCTTCAGCTTGATGGGGAAGTTCTATCGAATTTATATCACCACCTATATGTGGGGCAATAGTAAATTACATAATTATATATATATATATATATATATATAAGAATAAAAAAGGACTTTTTGGCGGGATCGGGAAGCGTCACTTTAGCAGTTTTGTTTTTCTTGTTAAAAATTGTGTTGGGGCGAATGTTAGTGTCTAATAATGGTGGATTATTAACCAAAAAGTGTTCGGGAACATGCACAAGTGTTGGCAAGTGAAACAAAATAGCGGAAAGTGTCTTTCGATGTTCCCTCAACAAGTCCACGGGGAGGTTCCAGTAAATCCCCACACATTTACTGAAACACAGGGAAAGGGGGATTGACTTGACTGCCACTTACTTTGACTTGATTTATTACTTTGACCACGAGTGCTATAGAATTTGTAAACATTTTAACACTTGACATTGTCTAAATGCACAAGCCGTTCGAAGCCATTAAAAAAAAAGTTTTGTCACTATCACAAAAAATTTTGTGGCACTATAGTACTGAAGTGAAACACAAATCTTACAGAAATACAAATCAAATTACAATGATTTTTTATTTAATTTTGTCGAGCTACTTTCGTAAGACTTTTATTGAGCGTTCGGTTATTTCAATACTCGATTTTTAAAGTTTTATTATTAACTAAATTTATATTGTATTATTATCTAATGTATAAAATTCTCATGTCGCGGTGTTTGTGGTTAAACTCCTCCGAAACGGCTTTCCCGATTCTCATGAAATTTTGTGTGCATATTGGGTAGGTCTGAGAATCGGACAACATCTATTTTTCATCCCCCTAAATGTTAAGGGTAATCCACCCCTAATTTTTTTTTTCAATTTTAGATATTTTTTTTTTTGGATTTTTTTTATGATACTTACAGCATTAGTAAATACATTTAACCCTGAATTTTCACCTTTCTACCACCAGCTCCTATTTTTCGCTGGGTCAGCTAGTAATTTATATTGTATTATTTATATAGTATTATAAATTGTTTTAAAATTAAGGTAGCTCGACAAAATTAAATAAAAATCATTCTGACTAAGCAGCCTAAAAAGGCTGCGAAACGTCAATATATATAATGCGATTCAAATAAGAATAGGAAAGCCAATGACCTCCATCTGTCAAATGTCGCTTGAAAAGTACGGTTTACAAAAAAATCTCGAAACACTTTTTTAGCACTCAGCTGATTCTAGAATAAAAACCAATCATTTGTAAACAAACAATAACAAATATTGATAATTAATATTGGTTGATATTTTTTTTCATTTATTGAGCTTTGGCTATGAATGGTTGATAACCTAAACCGTCAACCAAATGTCACTTTATTTATGTTGCATTTAGAAACTCGATTTAAAAGTTTCGTTTACTTAAAGGATGCATGTTCGTATGTGACCTGCATGATTATTCATAACTTCTCCGGCGGTAATACAGAGATGAGCGAAATTAAAGAGCTACATTCTGATTAATGTTTTTTTTCACACAGTCTTAATAAAGAAATACTATTTAAAATCGGTTGTGTTCTTTCTCAACCTTAGTAAATTAATTTTATTAAAAATCTGATGTTTTGTCTCACTTAATCGTAGTAAATAAGTTTTATTAAATAGCAAAAATTTTGCTCACTCTACCTATTTGGTTTGAATTGACAGCTATGACGTCAAAATATGGCGCCCAGTCGGTCCTATTGTTAGTTGAATCGCATTATAAATAAAGTTTCGTGCATTAACCCCGTTTAAAACTAGTTTTATTTATGAAGAATTGTATATTAAAACTCACCTTCTATCTCACTACACAATCTAGTTCTTCTTTTAGTCAAAGTTTCCAGTAGAGATATTAACCTCTGCGCTACGTACGGGTGGAGATTCCTAAATTCACCTGAAACAACGTTAAATTGGCATTATTTTTTGTTGAATAGGGTATTCGACAAGTTTTAGAAAACGATCTAACGTTATTTACTAATGTTTATAGAGTCCATAAAAAGATGAATGGATATTCATCATTATATCGTGTATTTCGGTAAAAAAAACTAAATCAAAATCTCTATTTTCAAGTTGATGCGAAAAACGTATCAATGATTCATTCAAATAGATTTTTATATAAAGAAGACAGAGAAATAAGTTGAATTACATAATTTAAATTATACTACTTTTGACATATTAATTAGGTCAATGAATAGGGTATTTGACAAGTTTTAGAAAACAATATCACGTTATTGACTAATGTTTATGGAGTCCGTAAAAAGTGGATATTCATCATTCTGTTGTGTGTTTCAGTAAAAATAACCAAATCAAAAACTCCATTTTCAAGTTGCCGCGAAAAACGTATCTCTGGACAATATGGCGTCTTACTGGTGTGTGACGTCACACGACTGTCATTAAAACGTCAAACCATACAATGTAATGTCACTTTAACCGGAAGTTTACTTGCGTGTGACGTCATTTTAGGCGCCACCAATCCCAAGCGTTTTGGGTCACGTGACAAATGGTAAGGAAACTATTTAATAATTATACTTACAGCTCATATTGGCGACTGCAGCCAAACAATTGGTATGCAAATATTTGTCCCTCACTCTGGCCATGTTATATTGTAAAGCTCGGATTATCACCAATACCATGAGACTGCCTAAAGATATTTCCGATATCGTTCGCTCCGTATACCAAGATGGGTTCTTGAGTGTCTACAATAAGGTGCAATATTGATAAATATATATATATATATATATATATATATATATATATATATATAAGCATCATCATCATCATCATCAGCCTATTAATGTCCCCACTGCTGGGGCACAGGCCTTCCCTATGGATGGAATAGGGAGATTGGGCCATGACCCACCACGCGGGCCCAGTGCGGATTGGTGGGTGCTAACGACTGCAGATGCAGCCGGGACCAACGGCTTAACGTGCCTTCCGAAGCACGGAGGAACTCGAGATAGAATATTTTTGGTCACCCATCCAATGACCGACCACTGCGAAAGTTGCTTAAATTCAACGATCGCAGCCGACCGCGCTAACCACTTGCGCCATCGAGCTCCTCATATATATAAGCATGTTTAAATCTAAAGAAAATAGTACTAGAAAAAAATCCACGAGGACCAGGCAGCGAACGGATGCGGGTTCGAGTCCCGTCTGTTGCCTAGTCTGCGTGCAATTTTTTCTAGTAATATTTTCTTTAAATATCAATATATTTATAACAACAGGAGCTCGATGGCGCGGGTGGTTAGCGCGTTCGGCTGCGATCGTTGAATTTAAGCAACTTTCGCAGTGGTCGGTCATTGGATGGGTGACCAAAAATCTTCTATATCTAGTTTCTCTGTGCTTCAGAAGGCACGTTAAGCCGTTGGTCCCGGCTGCATCTGCAGTCGTTAGTACCCGCCAATCCGCACTGGGCCCGCGTGGTGGCATAGCCCAATCTCCCTATTCCATCCATAGGGAAGGCCTGTGCCCCAGCAGTGCGGACATTAATAGGCTGATGATGATGATGATGATGAACAATCGTCCTAGTTAGCCTTTGCTTTTAATATTTATCACAACGATATTAAATATCCTAGATACACCACGTGCGCTGAAAATGTGTCCCAATCAAGAAGTGCTTTGAGCAAGAAATAAGGTCTATATTAGACTTGCAACGAATAGTATATTCGGCAGTATACCGAATACCAAATATTCGGCGAGGCTTCTGACCGAATAGCCGAATATTAGGCAAAAGTATTCGGCTGGATTTTAGCGCCAAAAACTTGTACAGACGTGATTGTTTCGCGCTCCTTTCGGAGAGAGGGGGGTCTGTTTAGGTAGTAGTAATCGTACGCATTTATAGGGTGGTCATAGGCAGGTGTAAAGCGATATTTTTATTAATTTAATTAGAAAATAAAAGTGGTCTGAAAGGCGTCAAACTTTCGTAGGTAATTCTATACAAGGAACACAACCAAACCCTAAAGTTTTATTTCGGACTTTTGTCACAACCTGTATATATAGATAGATTTATGGAATTACCAAATTAAGTGATTTTGAAAGTTACATATAATGAAAAGTGCAACTTACTTATAGAAACACAACATTTAAAAAAGTTTGTGTTAATTAATTTCTTAGTTACTCTTCTCTAAGGTGGAGGTTATTTCCCCAAAAGGGAGTTCAGACAAAAAATTCTTTATTTTTTCTTAAATCTTAATTTACCTACGAAACTATAGCCAAAAGTTTTTATTTTCACAGTCGTAAGTGTTAAAATACTCACAATTAAATGCACATTTTTAATTAAAGTATCATCTTCTGTCAATATTAGAAGTACTATGAGCGACATGTATATGTGATGAGAGTTGTTGTCCGGCGCGTTGTACAACACTTGTAGAATGGGCACTATCTGTAAAAGAAACTGGGGCGTCATGCTCGGGAACGGATGTTGAATAGGGATGATGACTATTTTTTTTTTCTTCGTTTATCAGGTAGTTTATCAAAAAGTATTAGACACGTATTTTTTCTTTTTTCACATAATATAAACATTGCAGAGATATATTGATTTGAAAAGTCGCATGACGTCACGTTTGAGTACACTTATAAGGGAAAATTTACTCAAAAGTGACGTCACGAGCCCCTACTCCCAAACTTTGACGCGCTATAACTTTGTCATTTTTTGGTTGATTGCCCAAAGAAAAAATACGTGTCCATTATTTTTTGATCATCTAACTGACGGACTAAATAGAATTTCGTTTACTATACCCCGTCATCACCCCTATTGAATGCAACTTGTGGTAATAACATCTTGGATAACATGTTAAGACAATAGATAAATTACTAAGACTCCAAAGTTACTCAAAAACACTAAAAAACAACAAACCCAGGAGCTGTATTTTTGATTCGCTCGCCTTACATAGTATCGTCGAATGCGACTTAAGTCACTTTAGACTTCCAAGTCGCATAATACTGATTTTCCGTATTTTTAAATCATTCATCAGTATACATATAGTATATTCTCATACAGTGTTCCCCAGTTTAATACAAAAAAAATATTTAAATAAATAAATAAATATATATTTGCAACACACCAATTATCCTAGCCCCAAAGTAAGCACTGTAGGCTTGTGTTATGGGATACTAGGGTAACGAATAGGATACATAGTATACTGATACATATATAAGTACTAGCAAACCCGGCGAACTCCGTTTCGCCACCAGATGGCTTCTTTTTATGTAACATTTCGTTTGGTGATTAAAAGATTTTTTTTTATATAATTTTTCCTGAATTTTCTTTGCTATAAACCCCACGGAGCCCGAGACCTTTCCAACGAATGCAAAACCGTGGAAATCGGTTCGTGCGTTCTGGAGTTATAGCGTCAGGAAGGAAAACCCGACTTATTTTTATATAGTAGATATTTATATAGAAATACATATTAAACATCCATGACTGGAGTACAAATGCTCGTATTCATCACACAAACATCTGCCCCCCACCGGGATTTGAACCCGAAACCTCTCGAGTCGGTAATAATATAATAACAATAGTAGATCTATAATAAGATCAATTAATTACAACTAAATCTATAAAAGGTAACATTGCACTAAGAGATTCAGCATATCACTTGTCCCATTGGAAGATATGACACAGTAAAATTGTAAATACCGTTAGATTATAATCTATCTTGCCAGATTATAAACTGAAGAAAGATTGTGAACTGCTTAATTTTTTGGAAAATAATAATTTATTATCTGATTCTTAAATCACAATTTATCTATGGCGCGTCTATGTCGAACGGTCTTACAGTAGGCCGAACACAATACGTTAAATTGTAAGCAAAGTTACAGCGGTTCACAATCTTTCGACATAGTTTATAATCTTACCATATCTAATACTGAATGACACAGCAATTAAAACGCGAGTGGACGTTGTATTAGTAGCGACATAATATTTTTTTGAATTGAAACTTCTTTATCGGCGTTGGAAAAAAATTTACCGTCACATTTTTCGGTTACGCGTCACATTTTTCCGTTACGCGCCATCTTTTTTTATATTAATAGTTGATAGCTGAATGATCACACTGTCGCCGGCGAGAACTCTCTCTACTCGTTTGTAGCTGAGTGACAATAGTTATTAAAGATAAGACTCGCTCAGCCAAACTCGCATAGCGATACTCGCTCAGCGATACTCGCTCAGCGATACTCGCTCAGCGGTACTCGCTCAGCGATACTCGCTCAGCTATACTCGCTCAGCGATACTCGCTCAGCTATACTCGCTCGGTTAAGCTGGCTTGGCTGTCAAAAGCCGTGCGCGTGCATTTTAACTCAGGACTGCCAATTCGTTTCTAGTTTCTACTCGCTTATCGTTCATCGTCGGAGGTGGAACATGTGCCTTAGATTACTGAGCCGTGTAATCATAACAGTTTCATAGGCAGTAATTTGTATTCATGTCTATGATAATAAAATCCTTTTGTTTAAACTTTATCTAATTTAACTTTATTTAACCAATTTCTGGAAAGTTGCATGTAGATCATTTTTCGAAAAATAAGGCCATAAAGAAGTTTCACTTCTTACGTGTGTACACTAGTACACGCACACATTTTTTTTTATGTAAATGTTGCTACTTCTGTTAAACGCTGATGAGTTTCTTGCGCCCGTTCTTCTCATCAGCTAAAAGATGTCCTGATGGGGGATGGTAGGAAAATATATTGGACGATTTAAAAGAGCTTTCAATCAATCAAATTGAAGAAAGTATGATTTCTTTCATGAGTAACTCGACGGCGCAAGTGTTTAGCATGTTCGGCTCCGATCATTGAAGCTAAGCAACTTTAGCAGTGGTCGGTCATTGGATGGGTGACCAAAAATTTACTATCTATCTCTCCTCCGTGCTTCGGAAGGCACGTTAAGCCGTCGGTCCCGGCTGCATCTGCAGTCGTTAGCAGTGGTGGGTCATGGCCCAATCTCCCTATTTCATCCATAAGGAAGGCCTGTGCCCCAGCAGTGGGGACATTAATAGGCTGACGACGATAATTTCATTTCATTTCATAACGGTGTTTGCAATTTTACGGTGATATATACTCTCTCTCCCCTCTCCATGTTATTATAAAAGTATTTTAACATTAATACTGAGACTAAATTGAACTCTATGATTTTGCTGAGGGAGAGAGATTTACTTTCTGGGTTTAATATTGAGTACAAGCAGTCCTCGTACTTATAAAGCGATTCAAATAAGAATAGGAAAGCCAATGACCTCCAACTGTCAAATGTCGCTTCAAAAGTACGGTTTGCAAAAAAATCTCGGAACACTTTTAGCACTCCGCTAATAGGGGTGATGACGGGGTACAGTAAACGAAATTCTATTTAGTCCGTCAGTTAGATGATCAAAAAATAATGGACACGTATTTTTTCTTTGGGCAATCAACCAAAAAATGATAAAGTTATAGCGCGTCAAAGTTTGGGAGTAGGGGCTCGTGACATCACTTTTTAGTGGATATTCGCTTAAAAGTAAACTCAAACGTGACGTCATGCGCCTTTTCAAATCAATATATCTCTGCAATGTTTATATTATGTGAAAAAAGAAAAATACGTGTCCAATACTTTTTGATAAATCTACCTGATAAACGAAGACAAAAAAATTGGTCATCATCCCTATTCTAAATTAAAAACCATACATTTGTAAACAAACAATAACAAATATTGATAATTAATATCGGTTAATATTTTTTTTCATTTATTGAGATTTGGTAATGAATGGTTGATAACCTAAACCGTCAACCAAATGTCACTTTAAGTTGCTAATAAGAAACTCAATTTAAAAATTTCGTTTACCTAAAGGATGCATGTTCGTATGTGACCTAGTAATAGTGCATCATTATTCATAACTACTCCGGCGGTAATGCAGAGATGAGCGGAATAGAAGAGCTAGATTCTGATTTATGTTATTTCTCAAACAGTCTTAATAAATAAATATTTATTAAAAATCTGATGTTTTTTTCTCACTTAATCTTAGTTAGAAGTTTTATTAAATAAAATAATTTTTTTGCTCACTCTACCTATTTGGTTCGAATTGACAGCTATGACGTCAAAATATGGCGCCCAGTCGGTCCTATTCTTAGTTGAATCGCATTATACGGCATGTTAGGTTCTCGAAATACGCGACGTAAATCGAAACGACGTAAGTCGAGACATCCCCACGGACATTGACCTCGCGACAATTGAATTCTCCTATGCCGGAAACATAGAGGTATAAGAATAGAGTAGGGGAAATATAGACTCTACTACAAGTGGAAGTGTCCCTCTAATAGAAAGAGAAAGAAGATGAGGGACCGCTAGCTTTCTCTCTAATCGCGTATGCGCATTGGCAACCGTAAGCATCTTACTGTTTCGATGTGATGCCATTGGATGCCATGCGTCACAAGAGAGAGATATATTTATTTATTTATTTATTTATTCTTTATGCACAAATGTACAATGGCGGACTTAATGCCGTAGGCATTCTCTACCAGTCAACCATAGGATGTTGTGGATATTATTAGTGGTAGGGTGCACAACTGAAGTGGAGATCACATTGAAGTTTATAAAAATAATAAATATAAATAATAATATATAAACGTACACATACATAAGTTAATATATTTAAATAAATACACAAATACATACATATTTCCAAAATAAATACAAAATAATGACGACAAACCACTCAACGAAACGCCTGTTCTAATAAAAAGCTTCGCAGTTTGGTTTTAAAGGTGTATTTACTGGGGGACATTCTGATATCTAGCGGGAGATCATTCCACAAAAGTATCGTTTTTACGAAGAAGGAAGAGTGAATAATATCCGAGCAGTGTGATGGAACGATAAGTAAACGATTAGAAGAAGATCGAAGATTTTTACTATGAGAGGTACATAAGTACTGAAATTGAGAAGTGAGATAAGGGGGAGCATTTGGAGAATCCAGCAAAGAGAACAGGGTTGTCAGAGCCCGCATACTTCTGCGCTGCCTAATGGGCATCCATTTTAAGAGAGATCGGTATGCGGACACATGGTCATATTTTCTCAGATTGAAAACGAATCGAATGCAGTTATTCTGAAGGCGATCAAGTTTGTTGAGTAGATCTGCATTCAGGTCGAGGTAGCACAAATCACCATAGTCAATTATGGGAAATATTAAGGTTTGCACAAGCATGGCCTTGATATTGACCGGCAAAAAATTTTTCATTCGATAAAGGGCACGCAGGGTTCCCGTTACTTTTTTACAGACACTACCAACTTGGTCCTGCCATTTAAAACTCGAGTCGATATACAAGCCCAGATCTTTAACGACGTTGCTAAAAGGTATTGTAGTACCGTCATGAATGATGGAACCAAGACTGTTGATGTCAATTTTGCTCATCATCCTTGACCCCCCTAGTAAAATGGCTTGGCATTTTGAAGCATTGACAGTGACCCCAAATTTTTCCGACCAGGTTTTAATAGCGACTAGGTCACTGTTTAGAGCATCAATGGCTTTGTTTAAATTGTCGATGCTTGCTTCAGTATATAATTGTAAGTCGTCAGCATATAGATGATACGAACACTGAAGATTGTGAGTGATAAAATCAATAAAAGTTGAAAAAAGAAGAGGAGAGAGAATACCGCCTTGGGGAACACCAGTTTCAAGGTTGCGCCAGGATGAGGAATATTCCCCAGACCGGACCAACTGCCGGCGGTCCCGAAGATAAGAAGAGAACCAAGTCAACACATCGTCAGAGACCATAAGATGGGATAGTATAGAAAGGAGAATATCGTGACTGACAGTATTAAAAGCATTGGAGAAATCGATAAGTACTAAACATGTTACTTTACCGTTCTCCATTCCCGCCCTAATATCGCCAGTCACCTTTAAGAGCGCTGAAATTGTGCTATGTCCTGACCTAAATCCGGATTGGAGGGGGTTCATCAATGAATTTTTGTGGACATATTGAGATAATTGCTTGTGAACGCAGGCCTCTAGCACTTTTGACATGAAGGGGAGGATAGAAATCGGCCGAAATTCATGTGGCTGTGTTGGATTGGAAACTTTGGGAAGAGGCCGTACATAAGCTTTTCGCCATAGCATAGGAAAAGTGCTGGTTTCAAGAGAAGAATTCATTAAATGCGTTATAGCAGAAAGAAGAGGGTCAAGAATAGTAATGATCATGCGACGACTAATATCATCACACCCTATCGCATTTGACTTAATGGAAAGTATTATCTTTTTAATCTCTGTCGATGTGACTGGTGAAAAATGGAAGGGGTCGACGTTAGGACGCGTTAAACCATTTATGGAAGCAACAGTGCTTGCTGTAGAATCACGATCCAACTTAAAAGTTGTGGTGAAATGAGAATTGAGATCGTTTAAGTTTATTGAATTAGATAGGTCTAAATGTCGCGATTTGCCGATACCTAGTGTTCCAAGGAACTTCCAGATATCTGCAGAAGATGAGGAAGAAAGATTGTTGAGAATATATCGGCGTTTGGCGTTACGTATCATCTGATTACACCGATTTCTAGCAGCCTTGAAGAGTTTCCACTTTTCGTCAGAGCGATCCTTTCTATAACTGCGATAAGTACGATTTCTACGTCTCATCGCCATCTGAATACCTGCTGTCATCCAGGGAGCTGGTTCACGCTTTAGCTTCACTTTTCTGATGGGCGCGTGGACATCGTAAATGTTCAACAGGGTATTGTTAAATATTTTTAGCTTTTCGTTGACATCCGAAGCTTGAAACATAGGGTCCCAATTGATCCCTGAGACATCCTTTAGTAATTTGTCTAAGTCCATACGCGCGAATGAGCGCCTGTGCAAAACCTTGGGAGGGAATTTTGGGGGCTTAAACCGATAGGAAAGGAAGATGAGGTCATGATGAGAGAAGCCAGGAGCGATATGTTGACCATGTGATGTGACGAGAGAGGGATTAGAGGTGAGGATTAAATCCAGCCATGTATCATCACCACAAGAGTTTTGGTGAGTTGGTTGAAGGGGTAAAATATGTAGGCTTGCGGACTGGACAATATGAAGGAGTTTTCGGGAACGTGAGGATTCGGGAGCGAGGAGATTGGTATTAAAATCACCCATGATGATAATATGTGCATATTCAGACCCTAAAGATTCTAGAACCTCTTCAAGTTCGGCGAAATAATCGACTGTGGGGGGACAATAAACTACACCAATAACTGCTTTAGCACGACCTGTCCCAATCTCCAGAAAAATATATTCCGAATTGGAGTCAGAGTTGGAGGAAGTTTTTAGTTTATACAAAAATGTACTACGTAGGTAGATAGCGACACCACCTCCGCCACGGCCACAACGATCATTCCGAATTAAGGTAAAACCAGGGAGAGAATAAGTGGGAGATTGAAGATGTGGTTTTAACCAAGATTCGGAAATTAGTATAGCGTGTACATTTCGCCCAGAGAACACATCAAGCAACTCGTCATAATGACTGGGTAAACTTTGAGCATTGATGTGACATATATTCAATAGACCTGGAGATTGGTCAAGAGATCGATGCAAAAAATCACCAAGTGTGTCGGTAGCTGAACAGAAGCTTTCATTAATAGAAGTGTCTGCAGATTCGTCATCAGCAGATAAGAATTCGTCGTCTGATATCATATACTACATAAATATTAATAAATAAATTTATATATATATATACAAAAAGTGAACAAATTAATGCAAAAACAAAACGAAAAAGCACCAAAATATCCACACCACCCGCCAGCTTACATTATCTGGTTACAAGGAAAACATAAAAAAACACATAATAATTACAATTACAATTAACAATTGCATATCTTAATAATAATAAATGAATGCGTAATATTCAAACTTATCAAGCGAAGATGAGTTATAAAATTTAGTTACAGACACAAAATGAAATAATATATGGCTGTATGAACACAGGTTTCTTTGCTTTCGTGCAGAAGAACTAATTTGAGAGAAAAAAAAAATGACATTGACAAGATGACAGTGACATTTCATCGACACAAACAAAACCAAATTGTGAGAGGAAAGCAAATTACTTACCAGATTACCTTAAAGTAAAAAAAATATAAAAAACAAATTATAAACGCAAACTGGATATTCTGTGTCTATCAACAGCATGCAGTATAAGAAAGCCAAAAACAACGAATTAGCTATTGCGACTTTAAAGGATCACATTTATTTCTATGGTAAGTAATAATTAATGAAATTTTATAAGAAGCAAAATGTTGTCTATAAAGGTAGCATTGAAAAAGCAAATTGTATAGGTACAAAGAAATAAAGTTACTACTTGTTTTCATTTGCAGTTCCTGGTCGCACAGCAGTCGAGGAATCTTTTGGGTATTTACTAACCAGGACGTCCAAATCCTCTTTAAGCACCACCTTATGACGCCTACTATCAGAAGACTTGACATGAATGACGCCATCCTGAGTCCAGCAAGACCGGACACCAAAATGCAGCCGAGCATTGTTGAAGATTACTTGCCTTGACTTGGTTAGAAACTCTTTCACTGAGATGTTCGTCCCCTTCAAGCTCTTCTTCGCCTTCCAGACTGCAGATTTCAATTCATATTGCGAAAACTTTACAAGAACAGGCCGATGCTTATTGCTTTCATTGCTACTGGACACTCCGAGCCTGTGACAAACCGATAGTGCAGCTTTATTGACATCTTTGAGACCCATCTTTGTCCCGAGAAGGCCACAGACCACCTCCTTGCAGTCTTCAGCATCAGATTCTTCAATGCCCATGAAAATCAGAGCTTTACGACGGTGCCGGGATTCCATGGCATCTATCTGTGTGGTGCACTCGTTGATTTGCTTGCGGAGAAGCCCCAACATGCCAAATATGATCTCCCTGAAGGTCCGGAACTCCTCAGCTACTTTTGCGACTGTTTCCTTACCGGAACCTGCACCCTGGATTTGAGCCTCCAGATCCTGCATTTTCTTATTGAAACATTCCTCCAAACTCTTTTGTGCAGAAACAATATCGGATAATTGTGGCATGATGAAATATGCAGTGTTGTTGTTTTGTAGTGTTGAATATTAGATCGTGCAAAACTTTGTGAGTGAAGTGCTGGCAGGTGGTGTAAAATGCAAGCTTATATTACATACAAGATGTTGCAAACACTAGGTATGCTGTTTCACTTCTCTGCTTTGAAAATTAGCATAAAATCGAAGCACTAAATTAACTTTAAATAATTAAATTGAATTTTACAATTGCGAATATAGCTAGCGGTTTCTCATCTTCTTTCTCCTTCTACTAGACGGACACTTTTAGAGCCGCCTTACCCACTCTATTCTTATACCTCTATGGTTATTTATTACCAAATATTCACATCATTATTTGGATTAGAAATAAACCCGCGTAGTCAACCGGAAATCGAAGGGATGATGACTATTTTTTTTCTTTTTTCACATAATATAAACATTGCAGAGATATATTGATTTGAAAAGTCGCATGAGGTCACGTTTGGGTACAATTTTCACTTAAAAGTGACGTCACGAGCCGCTACTCCCAAACTTTCGACGCGCTATAACTTTGTCATTTTTTGGTTGACTGCCCAAAGAAAAATACGTGTCCATTATTTTTTGATCATCTAACTGACGGACTAAATAGAATTTCGTTTACTGTACCCCGTCATCACCCCTATTGACGTGTGCTTAAGGAATAGTGTCAAAACATTGTTCGACGTAATTCGAAACGACGTAAATCGAAACGACGTAAGTCGAGGACTGCCTGTTTATAAGAAGTGGAATGTGTTTAATTTTTTTAGCTGAATATTCTAGATTTTTATTTATGGTTGGAGGGTTATGTATTAAGATTAGTTTTCTATATAACTTACCAAATTTTGTATGTCGCTTGTATTCGCCAAATGTCTTCTATAAGCGCGACACGAATGCAACATTTGGTATAGGAACAGGGTGGAATGCTCACAGCCGGCCGTCGCGCACAGAGCTCTGTGCAACTGTATACAAATCATAGAGAAAATGTCAAAACTTAGCTACAACTAGCAAACCAGTGAACCAAATGTTCACCAAAACCCATTTAAAAAAAAATGTATTTAATTAATTGAGAACTTCGGAGATTTTGTGTGGTTTCGTTTGAAATTCGTGATTTCTCGAAAACCGGAAGTGCTACGTTACTCAAATCCGGTTTGTAGTCTTATCAGACTATTCTTAACTTATAACTTAAATATTCTCTTTATCTATCTCTTACGGTTTGGCCGCTGAAACAGCACCACAGACGGACGGACGGACTTGTCTAATAGATAAGAGATAATGCACGTCTGGATGGGTTATTATTATAGTTTTAGGATATTGTATATTATTTTGTAAATAACAAGATATATTTGTTTCTTAGGTTTTCACACACATCACTCATTAATTAAAACTAGTTTTAACGGGTTAATGCACGAAACTTTATTTATTTATTGACGTTTCGCACCCTTTTCAGGTCTGCTTCGTCAGAATGATTTTTTATTTAATTTTGTCGAGCTACCTTCGAAAGACCTTTATTGAGCGTTCGGTTATTTCATTATTAGTTTTTTAAAGTTTTATTGTCTATGTATGAATTTATTAGTTAATTTAGTGAATAAAGTACTTTATTTAAAATTCTTTTTTGTATTTAGTGCATTAACACGTTAAAACTAGTTTTAATTAATAAGAAGATAGATTAGTCTCTTTGTATTTTGGTATTTTTTATTAATGACAGCTATAAATCTATAAATGTGACAACATAGAAAGATCTTTCAAAAAAACCATAAACCAAACGGAAAGTTCTATTGAAATTAAACAAAATGTCATTCCGCTTTGGTTTGGGGCTAGTTTTTGTTCTAATAATATACAGGGCGTCCCACGGTTACCTAACATGAAGGGAAAGTATATTAAATATTGAAGATAGGATATTTTACTGAAAGAACACATCATTTTATTTTTAATAATAACTAGAACTGCATACACTGATATTTAAAAAATTGCCTGCTACAATTGGGAATCAAATTCGTGAAATTTCGGAAATAAACACGACATTTTATGATAGCCATCGAAAAGGTTAATCATAAGGATCATTTTTTGCTAAATAACATATCATTTTTAATGAAAGAAAAGTATTTAAAATTATTTAACACAAACTAATATAAAAACGAAACGGTGCAAGAAAAACATAATAATTTATTTGTTTCTTAGGTTTTCACGCACATCACTCATTAAATAAAACTAGTTTTTACGGGTTAATGCACGAAACTTTATTTATTTATTGATGTTTCGCAGCCTTTTCCGGTCTGCATCGTCAGAATAATGTTTTTTTATTTAAAATTGTCGAGCTACCTTCTAATATAAGTCAGCTAATATAAGTCTTTCGAAGGTAGCTCGACAATTTTAAATAAAAAATCATTATTCTGACGATGCAGACCTGAAAAGGCTGCGAAACGTCAATAAATAAATAAAGTTTCGTGCATTAACCCGTAAAAACTAGTTTTATTTACATAATAATTTAATTTATCAAATGTTAGAAATGAATGAGTTTTTCACTTTCAATAATTTCTCTGCCTGTCGATTTTATTTTCTTTGCGTGGTGAATGTTTGTAACAATACGTCTGAGTTCATTTTGTAACTCCTGCATACTGTCATACCGGTTCTTGTATACCACATCTTTTACATAAACCCCACAAAAAAGTCCTAAAAGTGGGGTCAGATCTGGGGATCTCGCTGGCCATCTAATATGTACAATCGTATTTGGTCCAGACATTTTGAACATTTGATAAATACAATTTTCTTTTTCTTGCACTGTTTCGTTTTTATATTAGATTGTGTTAAATAATTTAACATAAACTGTTTAATTTAATGACTTTCCTTTCATTTAAATGCTATGTTATTTAGCAAAATATAATCCTTATCTCTTTCGATGGTTTTTATAAAATATGCCGTGTTATTTTTTTGAATTCTCACGATATTGATTCTCAGTTGTACAGGCGATTTTAAAAAATCTGTGAATGCAGTTCTACTTATTATTAAAAATAAAAAGAAATCTTCTTTCAGTAAAATATCCTATCTTCAATATTTAATATACTTTGCCTCCGTGTAAGGTAGCCGTGGGACGCCCTGTATATACAAACACAAATATTTTTTTGTTTCGTCGTTTTCGTAGTATATTTCTCTTTACACAACGTTTGAAAAGTCTATGTTTTTATTTATTTTTAAGCATTTGACTGCTAGATGTTTAAATCTAAAGAAAAGTTATACTAGAAAAAAAACACGCGGGCCAGGCAGCAGACAGGCCTCGAACCTGCACCCTTCGCAATCCGGGCGAATGCAATGACCAATTATGCTTCCACGGCCTTGATGGCCGCGTCGAAATTTTCCTAACCTTAAACTGAAAAAAAAAAAAAATTTTTTGTTTAATTTATCCCTGTTGGGACGGGCTAAGGATTCTGAGTCCATACAGCCCTGTCAGTTAACTTTTCTTTCTTAAAGTGTTTTGATTGTAGCTTTTACAAATTTGTATAAAGCAATGTAGGTGTCTTTATTTTGTAAAAGTTTTCTCAAGTCGCGCGGGATGGTTTCTTCGCCAAAAGTGCTTCGAAGGTCTTGAAGCAGCAAATTTCTCTGTACTTGAAATGAGCCGCAAAAGAAAAAGATATGGTCCAGGGACTGATTATATATGTTGCAGATTATTTTTTTCTAGTATCTCTTATCTATTACACAAGTCCGTCCGTCCGTCTGTGGTGCTGTTTCAGCGGCCAAACCGTAAGAGATAGATAAAGAGAATATTTAAGTTATAAGTTAAGAATAGTCTGATAAGACTGCAAACCGGATTTGAGTAACGTAGCACTTCCGGTTTTCGAGAAATCACGAATTTCGAACGAAACCACACAAAATCTCCGAAGTTCTCAATTAATTAAATACATTTCTTTTTTAATCAGGTTTTGGTGAACATTTGGTTCACTGGTTTGCTAGTAACTTTTCATTAGGTTTGAAAAGACTTGATAAACAGTAGACTCACCGCGGCCATATCAATCCGTGGGGGCGTGCCTTGCATTCCCGTAGTGTTGCTGTCACGTTGTGGCGTAGTCGCCGATGCCTCTTCAAGAATAAATTATCATTTTCAAACAACGATATTCAATCTAAAGAAAAGTTTACTAGAAAAAAATCCACGCGGACCAGGCAGCGGACGGGACTCGAACCCGCATCCTTCGCTATCCGGGCGAATGCACTGACCATTATGCTACCACGGCCCTATTAGCCGCGTCGAAATTTTCCTAGCCTTAAGCTGTAAGGCAGCGCCATCTCTTCGCATTGTAGGTAACCCACAATGTCAAATGAATACTTTTTCAAGTATTAAACATTTGAAGGAAGAAACAGCAATTATAGTTATGATTTTATATATTTTTAAGCATTTAACTGCTAGATGTTTAAATCTAAAGAAAAGTTTACTAGAAAATTGCCTTGCAGCTTAAGGCTAGGAAAATTTCGACGCGGCTAATAGGGCCGTGGTAGCATAATGGTCAGCGCATTCGCCCGGATTGCGAAGGGTGCGGGTTCGAGTCCCGTCCGCTACCTGGTCCGCGTGGATTTTTTTCTAGTAAACTTTTCTTTAGATTTAAACATCTAGCAGTTAAATGCTTAAAAATATATAAAATCATAACGATATTCAATACCCTACATACAACATCACGAACAAAATCGTGGCCGAAACCTGTCCAAAAGGTACATTGGACGATCCACGGAGCTCCGTAAGATGATCGCGTAGTCAAAAACAATATAAGGCATTATTTAAACATTGAAAGTCACCTTTAATGCATACTGCATAAGGTCTTAATTAAAACTCATGCGCCAAAGAGTTATGCAAGTTCAAAATGCAAGCTCGTAAAATTTTACGACTTATTGCTATATGCGGAAGAATATAGACCTTATTTCTTTGACTCAACGCGCAATTCTGAATGCGCTGTTAGCAATATAGCAGGTACGGACCGCGAGGAAAAGAGACGGCTATATTACCGACCACCATGCATTTGAATATTACAAATATTTTCTATTGAATCAGTTTATAGTAAGTATTAGAACAAAATTTGCTTCAAATGCGTTAAATTAATAAACTTTGTTTAGATACCTCAACCTGGAGAAGCTCGATAGCGCAAGTGGTTAGCGCGTTCGGCTGCGATCGTTGAATTTAAGCAACTTTCGCAGTGGTCGGTCATTGGATGGGTGACCAAAAATTACTATCACGAGCTCCTCCGTGCTTCGGAAGGCACGTTAAGCCGTTGGTCCCGGCTGCATCTGCAGTCGTTAGCACCCACCAATCCGCACTGGGCCCGCGTGGTGGATCATGGCCCAATCTCCCTATTCCATCCATAGGGAAGGCCTGTGCCCCAGCAGTGGGGACATTAATAGGCTGATGATGTTTAGATACCTATCGAAAAAAGAACACTACGTACTATAAGTATTTATTTCGCATATTTTTCACGGAGCTCTGTGGCATGTTGACTTTTCAACGGTCCGCGCGTGACTGTGAACCAAGAAGTGCTTGAGTGGAGTTCAAGCACTTCTTGATTGGGACACATTTTGAGCGCTCATGGTGTATCTAGGGTATTTAATATCGTTGTTTTCCAAGGCCTATTAATGTCCCTATTGGCAAGGCCTAATACCGCAATAGGGTATTTGACAAGTTTCAGAATCCGATCTCGCGTTATTTACCAATGTCTATGGAGTCCATAAAAAGTGGATGTTTTCATTTCTGTTGCGTAATTCAGTAAAAAAATTAAATTAAAAATTCAATTTTCAAGTTGCCGCGAAAACGTTTGTCCGGACATCCAGGTCTATTCCGAAATATACAACAGTATACTGGCCAGTGGTAATGACGTCACGAATCCGATGCCATTTTGTACTGGTATGCTACCATATTTTTACAGGGAAAACGAATATGACGTATGACCGAGTGTGCGTGAGAAGCTTGCAAATTTTATTTCTTTTTTATTTAAAGAACAATAACGGCATCGGATCAAAAATAATTGAAGTGAAACTTCTTTATCGGCGTTGGAAAAAAATTTACCGTCACATTTTTTTCGGTTACGCGTCACGTTTTTTGGTTACGCGCCATCTTTTTTTTAAAAGAGCACTATTTACCTCATCCGAACAATTGCTTCTCCTGTCAACTTTAAAAAAAAAAAGTATCGACAGCAAATATTCGTGTTTCACACAAGGTAAGGTAAGGTAAGGTAAGGTAAGGTATTTTTTTTTTTTTTTTTGTAAGGTAAGGTAAGGTGTAGTTATACCCCTTTAGTGGGTGAGTTTTTGAAAAATCTTAGCGCACGCCTATATATATATTTCTGGAAAGTTGCATGTAGATCATTTTTCGAAAAAAATAAGGCCATAAAGAAGTTTCACTTCTTACGTGTGTACACTAGTACACGCACACATTTTTTACTTTTAATTGATAAGGTGAATAAAAATCTTCTTTATTCGCAATATTTTTAATATTTCTTCGATTTATGACGTCAGTGCACTGTCCAGTATATTTCGGAACAATTCACCAGGTTAGCGATCGATTCATGACGTCATTAACACTGGCCAGTATACTGGTATATATTACGGAATGCACCCTATGGCGTCTCACTAGTATGTGACGTCACACGGCTGTCAATTAAACGTCAAACGATGCAATGTAGAATTTTACTAGCGTGTGGCGTCATTTTAGTTTTGGCCAATCCCAGGCGCTTTCGGCCACGTGACCGTGGAGTAAACAATAATTCCTATTTCGTGTTTATGGGATGAATACGAGCATTTGTACTCCAGTCATGGATGTTTAATATGTATTTCTATATAAATATACTTACTTATATATGTACAGTATATGTATTTTATCCGTTACCCTAGTATCCCATAACACAAGCCCTTACTTTGAGGCTAGGCTAATTGGTGTGAGTGTTGGAAATATTTATTTATTTTATATTATTTAAACTACTAACGAGGAGCTCGATGGCGCAAGTGGTTAGCGTGTTCGGCTGCGATCGTTGAAGTTAAGCAACTTTCGCAGTGGTCGGTCATTGGATGGGTGACCAAAAATTTACTATCTCTCGCTCCTCCGTGCTTCTGAAGGCGCGTTAAGCCGTTGGTCCCGGCTGCATCTGCAGTCGTTAGCACCCACCAATCCGCACTGGGCCCGCGTGGTGGGTCATGGCCCGCACTCCCTATTCCATCTGTAGGGAAGGCCTGTGCCCCAGCAGTGGGGACATTAATAGGCTAATGATGATTTAAACTAGTTAATTACTCACCCGCGCTGTCTTCGCATGCCAACAATGCGTTCCTATACAAGTTACTGGTATTGATGCAGTGGTTAGCGAGCGCTAACAGTAGTAAAGTCGATTGGTTTGCGAGCGGATGCCGGGCTCGTAGTAGGGGCAATGTGGACGCGAGGTCTGGTGGGGGATGCGAGTAGATTGTTGGTCGAGATGATGCTTGGAACGAAAGCATGTTCCATAGACCCGCTGCGAAATGAAATGTGTTCTTAAAACCAATCTATATATATAAAAATGAAACCCGTTTTCCGTTGTCACGACATAACATGAAAACGGCTTGACCGATTTGGCTGGTTTTTTTTTTGTAGTTTTCTAATACTCTGTACAAGGTTCTTACGGAAAAAAATATAAAGAAAATCCCAAGGGGATAAAATAAGGAATGAAAGTTTGTATGAAACTTTATCAATTTGAAACCGATCGGGCTGAGACTTTGCATGCAGGCATAAGAAGAATCATAGATGAATGTCATTGTGTATAATACAAGCCTGAGAACAAAAACTGTAGTCTACACTTCAGCTCTACACCGAAGCGAAGCGAGGGCGGGCCGCTAGTAATACAATAAATAAACAAAAAAAACGACGGGTTGCACTCCGGGAGTGCCGACAGAAGTGAAAACTTGAATATTGACGTTGTGCATTTTTGATATTTTGGAATGGTTAGGGAATAATTTTGCGCGAGTTGCTTTAATTATCAGTATAAAAGTACTATCATGTATGTGGTACAATACAATATATATGTTTTGCGCTACAGTACACAAACATGACAATTTCTATAACATTAAAAAAGTTTATCTCAGAAAAATCAACTTACATGAATCACGTTTAAGCGCACCTAGCGACATCTATTGTAAAAAATGCATTTTATTCGCAATTTTATTGTTTTCGTCAGATCCCCGATCAGATCACGTGTCATGACGCGATCAGCCCACGTGTCCTGACGCGAGTTTAACATTTTTCACCCATACAAAAAAAAGTGTACAACGCTGCTAAAGAAGTTTCATTTCCAAAACTAAATTGAACTGAATTTTTATCCTTAATCGAGCTTTTGTTATGACATTTTTTTTAAAGAATGTTTGATATAATGACATTACCCCAAGTATGCAATTCAATGCTATTACTCCTCGTTTACACTAAGGCATAATATATGTATATAACAAATTTCATACGATGTCTTCATATTTTGTTCACACTAACATAAATGTACAAAAACTTGTAGTATACAATACTTGCATCAAACTTGTTTTATATACAAAAAATTGTGAAGCAAATAGTTATTTATACATGTAAAGATACTCGTTGACCATGCAGTTTAAACAAAAGAATTTCACAACAAGTATTCTACCAGTTTCGTGAAAAACTAGTATGTGACTTGTTTGTTGGTGTAAACGACGGGGTTAACAATTATAATACTAGCTGATCCAGCGAACTACGTACCGCCATAAAAATAGGGGCAGGTGGTAGAAGAGAAAATTTAGGGTTGTATGAATTTTTAATAGCACATTATAAAAAAAATAAAAAAAATTTTAGGAGTGTGTAACGTAGTGATCTATCAATTTCCTGGAATAACATTCCTCCTAACCCATATGAGAACACTACGTTACAATACCCGATAGTTTGAAATTTGGTGCGAAGGCGCATTGTAGGTTTCAGAACATTACGTTACAGGTGGACAACCATTATCACTTAAGGATATGAAAAATATATAGTAGCCGATTCTCAGACCCACGGAATATTTTATATTTCATAAAAATCTCGCTCGCTCGCTTCGCATCGGTGTAGAGCTGAAGTGTAGACTACAGTTTCTGTTCTCAGGCTTGTATTATACACAATGACATTCATCTATGATTCTTCTTATACCTGCATGCAAAGTCTCAGCCCGATCGGTTTAAAATTGACAAAGTTTCATACAAACTTTCATTGCCTATTTTATCCCCTTGGGGGTAGAATTGATCAAAATCCTTTCTTAGCGGATGCCTACGTCATAACATCTAGCTGCATGCCAAATTTCAGCCCGATCCATCCAGTGGTTTGGGCTGTGCGTTGATCACTATGTCAGTCAGTCACCTTTGAGTTTTATATATATATATATAATGTCGACTCACAGGCTATGTTGATGAGCAGACTGCCCCCCGGGGCCGCGGTGCCGAACATCTGAGGGGGGGCGGGCAGCATGCTGGACAGGTTTATATATATATATATATATATATAATGTCGACTCACAGGCTATGTTGATGAGCAGACTGCCCCCCGGGGCCGCGGTGCCGAACATCTGAGGGGGGGCGGGCAGCATGCTGGACAGGTTTATATATATATATATATATATATAATGTCGACTCACAGGCTATGTTGATGAGCAGACTGCCCCCCGGGGCCGCGGTGCCGAACATCTGAGGGGGGGCGGGCAGCATGCTGGACAGGTTTATATATATATATATATATATATAATGTCGACTCACAGGCTATGTTGATGAGCAGACTGCCCCCCGGGGCCGCGGTGCCGAACATCTGAGGGGGGGCGGGCAGCATGCTGGACAGGTTTATATATATATATATATATATATAATGTCGACTCACAGGCTATGTTGATGAGCAGACTGCCCCCCGGGGCCGCGGTGCCGAACATCTGAGGGGGGGCGGGCAGCATGCTGGACAGGTTTATATATATATATATATATATATAATGTCGACTCACAGGCTATGTTGATGAGCAGACTGCCCCCCGGGGCCGCGGTGCCGAACATCTGAGGGGGGGCGGGCAGCATGCTGGACAGGTTTATATATATATATATATATATAATGTCGACTCACAGGCTATGTTGATGAGCAGACTGCCCCCCGGGGCCGCGGTGCCGAACATCTGAGGGGGGGCGGGCAGCATGCTGGACAGGTTTATATATATATATATATATATATAATGTCGACTCACAGGCTATGTTGATGAGCAGACTGCCCCCCGGGGCCGCGGTGCCGAACATCTGAGGGGGGGCGGGCAGCATGCTGGACAGGTTTATATATATATATATATATATATAATGTCGACTCACAGGCTATGTTGATGAGCAGACTGCCCCCCGGGGCCGCGGTGCCGAACATCTGAGGGGGGGCGGGCAGCATGCTGGACAGGTTTATATATATATATATATATATATAATGTCGACTCACAGGCTATGTTGATGAGCAGACTGCCCCCCGGGGCCGCGGTGCCGAACATCTGAGGGGGGGCGGGCAGCATGCTGGACAGGTTTTGGAGCAGAGTCTTCACCAGCAGCGGCGCGTGCATGCCGTAACGACCTTGGTATATGGACCTGGAGGCCAATCGTGCTCAATGTACACTTGCGTATATCCGAACGCACTCATATCCAGGAAGGATATAAAAAATCTAAATCAAAGATTATTTATTCAATAGATTGAATACAGCCTAGCCTAGAGGCTGATACAAGCACTTGTGAAGGTCAAGAAGCTACGCCATCGGTTCGCAAATCTACGGCGGGAGACCTTGTACTGAGAAGAACCGGCAAGAAACTCAGCAAGGGCTGTTTTCTCTCTCCCTGTATTATTGTTATATATGTCATCGGAATATAATAAATTCCGTAACTTGATCAATTTCCTAGTAAATTGTAGATAGTTGCCTGTTTTTAAAGTTAATGCATAAGAGTAACTTTTTAAATCAGGTGTCATTTCCGGTTATAATAAGGTACTTTGTGACAGAAACTGTGTGATGATTTAGGTTCTATAGCCATATATTCAGTAGCTTCATTATATTTGTTATGTTTTTAAGATAACCATATTTTAGATTTTTAGTGTATCACACCTTATAATTTTATTTATTGATTAATTTATAGGAGGTGTTTGGCGAAAAATGTATGGCAATAGACTTTATGATGTCGCCTACCATCTATAATAATTGTCTGAGCACATTTATATATAGTGAAAACGATAATATAGTTGTGGATATTAATACCACAGTGTAATAAAAAAATGATTTATTTTATCGATCTTTACAAAATAGATTTGTTTTTATGTTATATAAACAACTTTGATCAGTCTTTGGCTGAATGTTACTACACCCATAGCCATTAAAAATGATTCGTATGTTTTCCAAACCGGTAAAATTAAAAGTCCTTTTTAAAGTTAATATATTATACAAAGGTGTCCGTTGTAATCTAATAACTGTAAATTAAATTATAAATTACGCCAAGAATTACCGTGTATGTAAATTTTTTTTGTGCATTTGGGCCAATTTGAGCAATCTCCTTTACTAGGAAATTGATAAACTTACGGAATGGATTATATTCCGGTGAAATATACAGAGTCGTCAAATTGAAAAATTACTTCAGAGATACTTCTGAAGTCACTATATAAGCAATCATTCCATTTAAAATTTCTTAGCATATCCAGTATATCCAACTTGACTAGCTACATAACAAACATGATTACGAAAAGCGCTGAAAGCAGATTTTTTTTCTAGTAAAAACAAAAGAATTTTTAGATTCAATCATAATTAAACGTTAAATATTTAATTGACAGTCCTATTAGCCGAAACAAACGGACAGACAGGCAGACATACAAAAATTGTAAAAAAAAAATTTGGTGTATGTACCGTACATATATTATAATAATAATATTCTTTATTGTATAACACCACAAAGGACATAACAGTAAGATTACACTGACAGAGAGACATTACACAATGGGCGGCCTTATTGCTTAACAGCAATCTCTTCCAGGCAACCCATGACGGAAAATTAAATAAGTATATAAGAATAAAAAAGGGTGAGGGTGTAAGAGCAATATTATAAAATAAAATAAAAACGGTAATTATATGCATGTAGTAAAAAGCGGTTATTTCAATATTACAACAGACACTCCAATTTTATTGATATGTATATAGATAGATAAATTCTTTATTGCACACACACAAAAGAATACAAAAATAAGGAAACAATAACATAATGTGGGCAAAGGCGGCCTTATCGCTTTAAGCGATCTCTTCCAGACAACCTTTGCGGTAAAGAATAACTAAATGAAGAGGAAGTTGCAGTATGCCAGCAAGATAAAATAAAGAAATGTACATATTTTCTTAAACATATAAAGATTATATACAAATAAATAACATATAGCTACACAAATAAATATACTATGCAATATTATATATTTATAGATACAGCAGACTAGGATTTAATTAAAAATAATATGTATTATTGTATGCCTATGTGTGTATGTGTACATAACTCTCCCTCTCTCACCTGTATATAAGCGAGGTCTCCACTAAACTCTCCTGCCCGTGCATGTTGGCGAACATGTACACGGACATCAACACGAGCAGGGTGTTTATGCACTCCAGGTGAAGGTAGTATGTGTTGTCACTGTTAAATGAAATATATATATATGTCGGAGAGCGACTATTCACTTTGTCATTAGCGTTCACGGGCTTAGTGGGCGTCATTGGGGCTTGATACAGGCACAAAACCAAACAATCACTCAATCACTGTTCGTATAGTTTTAATTACGTTCTTTTAACAAAAACAAAATAAAAATGTTTCACACACACTTTACTTTACACTAAGGACACTTAAATAACGTAACAACCGAGCAGTGGGTTCAAGGTACCAATCTGACTTCACTGAACTACCGTATCACCTTTCTAGAAATGAACCGCTACGATCAGTTCCTCGCCTTTAAATATGCGCAAAAACTACCTCCCACTTGTGAAAATCAAGATGGCGCCTCGACCCCACTCGAGGCACGTGCTCTGCTCTGATTGGACGCGACATAAAATGATTTATTAGCGACTTTTATTCAATTACTAAGTTACTGAACAATTCAAAAATTGTAATTAATTGAAATCAAATTAAATTAAGATTTTATAAAATTATTTAAAGTGTAAACAATAGCCTTTTCACGCTTGGCATTCAACAATCAACCCTTTTCATCACATCCTCCGACATATATATATATAGTATGTATATTAATTCATATAATGCGATTCAAATAAGAATAGGAAAGCCAATGACCTCTATCTGTCAAATCTAGCTTGAAAAATACGGTTTGCAAAAAAAAACTTGAAACCCTTTTTTTCAAGTACAAAAACCAAACATTTTTAACAAACAATAACAAATATTGATAATTAATATCGGTTGATATTTTTTTCACTTATTGAGCTTTGGCCATGAATGGTTGATAACCTAAATCGTCAACCAAATGTAACTTTAAGTTGCGTTCAGAAACTCGATTTCAAACTTTCGTTTACATAAAGGATGCATGTTCGTATGTGACCCAGTAATAGTGCATCATTATTCATAACTACTCCGGCGGTAATGCAGAGATGAGCGGAATAGAAGAGCTAGATTCTGATTAATGTTTTTTCTAACAGTCTTAGTAAATAAATATTATTAAACATCGGTTTTTTTTTTCTTCTCAATCTTAGTAAATAAATATTATTAAAAAAAACTGATACTTTTTCTCACTTAATATTAGTAAATAAGTTTTATTAAATAAAAACTTGTTTTGCTCACTCTACCTATTTGGTTTGAATTGACAGCTATGACATCACAATATGGCGCCCATTCGGTCCTATTCTTAGTTGAATCGCATTATAATATGCTAAAATATCATGAATGTTTAAACAACTTCCAGAATTGTTTCTTCAAATGTGAGATCATGGCTGTTGATTAAACAGCCTTAATGACAAACTATACATATATATTAATTCATAATATGTTAAAATATCATGGCTGTTCAATCAATTCCCAGAATTGTTTCTTCAAGGGCCGATTTTTCAAAACTAGGATGAAACTTAACTGTTCGATAAATTAATCAGAAATCAATATATCTTTATTCAAATTGGATGTATAGTACAACACTTTTGGATCGTTCAAACATTTTTTTTTCCCTACCACTCGTTATTGGACATATTTTTTAGCTGCGGAGAAAAACGAGCGAAAAAAACTCCACAACATTAAAAGCATAATGTAACAACATTTACAAATCATTATGTTGTTACAACGTCAATACAATCATGATTTATTTAATATAGAAAACCTGTTGGAGTGATTGGAACAGTTCAAACCCAAGCATTTTTGTCTGTAATATAATCAGACACTTTGTAATAAGCTTTTTTAATAAGTGCTTTTTTTATACTATCTTTGAATTTATTTATGCTTAACTCTTGGATATTGCTTGGGACTTTATTGTATAAGCGAACACAAAGACCTTTAAATGAATTATTGATTTTGTGAAGCCTAGTAGCAGGTAAAGTTAGTTTATTTTTGTTTCTTGTATTAATTGTGTGAACATCACTGTTTTTAAGAAACAAATTAATTAATATTTTTTCTTACAAGTAATAAATTTTCGTAAATGTATTGTGATGCGACCGTCATTATACCAAATTCTTTAAACCTATCTCTTAAGGAATCCTTAACTTTAAGATTATAATATTTAATCGAATAGAGAGAGATGTCATCCGTCACCTTACACCAATTAATACAAGTCAACTCTTTATTGTGTTCGTATAATACGATATCAGACAGATTCATTTTATCCAGTGTTCAAAAAATCTGCCCTTAAAAGCAGTAAGGTATTTCATCAGAATAATAGGGATGATGACTAATTTTTTTTCTTCGTATATCAGATAGATTATCAAAAAGTATTGGACACGTATTTTTTCTTTTTTCACATAATATAAACATTGCAAAGATATATTGATTTGAAAAGTCGCATGACGTCACGTTTTGATACAATTTTCACTTAAAAGTGACGTCACGAGCCCCTACTCCCAAACTTTGACGCGCTATAACTTTGTCATTTTTTGGTTGATTGCCCATAGAAAAAATACGTGTCCATTATTTTTTGATCATCTAACTGACGGACTTAATAGAATTTCGTTTACTGTACACCGTCATCACCCCTATTTGTTTAAATATTAAATGCAAGGTGAAACCCTTACACTTGAATGCTATGCCCGGTTATGCTATGCTGTATACTACAGTATGCTAAAGTCGTATGCTAGGGAAGAAGAAATAAAATGAACCGGTTCGAGTTCCCTATGGATGGAATAGGGAGATTGGGCCATGACTCACAACGCGGGCCCAGTGCGAATTGGCGGGTGCTAACGACTGCAGATGCAGCCGGGACCAACGGCTTAACGTGCCTTCCGAAGCGAAATAAAATAATATTCTTTCTAACATACATTAAATTTCCATAAATGTACTGAGAAGCCGCAGTCATTATATCGATTTCTTCAATTTTTTTTCTTAAAGAGTCTCTAGTCTTACGATTGTAAATTGATGGAACAGCCCGCTTTTACAGCACAAAAATAGTTTGAATGTCGGCAGCATTTCCTCACAGCAAAATACCGTACAACATCACACTATGAAAATAACCAAAATATACTAATCGAGCGGTAACTACGTCAGTTAATTGCCGTATCTTCATTACTGGTAAGGGCAGAGCTAAGTCTCTTCGACAATTTCTCAACATGCGGGCCTCACTGAATCTTTGAATCTAGTGTCATGCCTAAGAATATTGTAGTGTCACAATATTCTTAGGCATACACAAGGTCCATATTCTTATCTTTGATAGTTACACTGTTTTGTGTCTGCTTTACATTGGGTAATAATTTTTTTAAACATTTAGTTTTACCTTCATTAAGAAGTAAATTATTAGCATTAGACCAGTGGACTACTTTAGAGATGGCATTGTTCACATCGTCAATAAGTGGTTGCTTTCGTTCAATTTTAAATAAAAGTGCAGTATTATCTACAAACAATACTATCTCGTGATTATCACTTACAAAGTAAGGTAGGTCATTTATATAAATAAGAAACAAGAAAGGACCAAGAATCGAGCCCTGAGGAACACCCATCTTTACTAACGATCCGGGAGATCTTTTGCCATCGATGTCAACTCTCTGGATCCTATCGCTCAAATATGACACAATGAGATCCAGAGTGGTAACTTCAAATCCATAGTGGCGTAGTTTCCTGATTAATGTTTCATGAAAAACGCAATCAAAAGCCTTGGACAAATCACTGAAGACACCTAAATAATCACGTGACTTCTCCCAGGCATCAAAAATATGTTGTAAGAGCTTAACACCAGCGTCGGTTGTAGAGCGACCCATTGTGAAACCAAATTGTTTTGAATGAAGTAACTTATTTTTTATAGAAATGAGACTGCATTTGGTCTAACATTATTTTTCAAATATCTTACTAAAAGTGGGTAGCACAGATATAGGTCTAAAGTTTGTGGGGTCAGATGTGCTACCGGATTTAAATAATGGAGTTGTTTTACTGTGTTTCAGGAGATCAGGAAAAACACCACAGTCAAGGATCTGATGATGGAATAATTTCAAAGGCACGCACGATGTTTGTTTATGCATGATCACCGATTTCTCCGTCAATTGTGTTATTGTTTACATGGACGATGTAATTTTCACTAAAATGGATGAAATAAAAAAATTGTAAACAAAAAATAAAACTGATTTCGAAATTGAAACTGGAACTAAAAAGTAAAAAATAATATCTGGTTCATTAGATAATAATATGTAGGAAGGCCAAAGGGGAAGATCTTTCTCCGAGCTGGGTGATGGTAGCTCGGGGGCCGCGGCCCGACTGATGTTGGTCGGGCATCGTATATATGAAGAGTTAGCCTCCGAATTTCATTTGCGCGATGTAGGCTTCCATACTATTATGATCGCAGTGCAGGTAACGCCATCTCTTGAGGATGGTGAGTAATGATTTCCTCCATCCGTTGTATATACATATATACATATGGGGCATAAAGATGGCGCCGCCACAGATATATTTCATTTTCGTAGACGTATTATTACCGATAAGAAACGAAAATCCACGAAAGACGAAAACCAGATATTATTTTTTACTTTTTAGTTCAATTTTCGATTTTGAAGTCGGTTTTATTTTTTAGATATACTTTAGTCTGACGAAAGAAACCACAGTAACAGGACAATGACGTTTGACGTTTAGTTGTTAACAAATTTTGTGACGTCACAATCATGGTGGACAGCGTTTTTAGTGTTTCAAAAGCATAGACTAAAAAACTATTTTTAAAATTAAATTATTACATCTTCCAATTTTATGAAGTGAATTCGATGTATTTAGGTTTCTAATACCAAAATTATAAGAAATAAGCATTTGTATAGTACAATTTGATATGAGTCAACTAGTCTATTTTTGTCTTAACCTTTATTATTTTTTATATGACACTAGCTGTCCCAGCGAACTTCGTAACGCCATAAAAAAATAGGGGTTGATTGTAAAAGGGTGGTAAAGGGTTGAAAATTCAGGGTTATATGTATTTACTAATGCTGTATCATAAAAAAATTAAAAAAAATATATCTTAAAATTGGAAACAAAAAATTTAGGGGTGGATTACCCTTAACATTTAGGGGGATGAAAAATAGATGTTGTCCGATTCTCAGACCTACCCAATATGCACACAAAATTTCATGCGAATCGGGAAAGCCGTTTCGGAGGAGTTTAACCACAAACACCGCGACACGAGAATTTTATATATTAGATTTTGGCCCGCACTCCCTATTCCATCCATAGGGAAGGCCTGTGCCCCAGCAGTGGGGACATTGGTAGGCCAAAGGTTATGATATACTCACGTGACAGGAGCGTCAATGATGACAGATATGAGAGCGTCCATCAACATCTCGACGCGGCTGTCACCGATGCGGACTCCGCCCCCTTCTGAGACCCCGCCCCCTCCCTGGATGCAATGCATTAATAAATAAATAATTATGAAGATAATTTTAACTAGAAATAAATAAATAATTCTATGTATATACTAGTGATGTAACGAATGTCATTTTTTGAACATTCGCGAATGCGAATATTTAGTTTTTTTTAAATTGGCGTCAATTGTCTATGGCATGGTGGCAGTCTCGTACGAATTGCCGAGTTTATTTATTTATTATTTATTTATTTATTTATATCAAATACTTATATCTATCATTACAGGTATTTTTACCCAAGGCAATAGATACATCCATTTAAGAAATACATTATAAATATAACACCTCATCACACATAATATAACACATTGGAAAAATAAATAATTAATTGAAACCGATGATCCACATGAGTTGATATGAACTCATCCGATTGAAGTGTCATTCCGCTCGCATCGGTCTTTCCGTAAACAAGTGAATTTTGAGGTTAGTGATTGTGAGTGGTAATAGTGATTTATTAACATGAGTAAATCGTATTCTAGTGAAACATGGACTTATTTCACACTTTGCGATGCTAAACGAGCTAAATGCAAACTGTGTAACAATGAATATTCAAGGAAAGGCAGAACTACAACTTCTTCAAATTGATTTTTTCTAATATTCATATTCGCAAAACATTCGCAGAGATTTTGCGAATGCGAATGTGAAGGCGAATATTCATTCGCGAATATTCGTTACATCACTAGTATATACACCATTCATGCTGATCGGGTGGTCTAAAATAGTGTAATTTTGTATAAAACAACTAAAACATTTTTAATATTTTTTTCTATTTGCTTGATTTAACATAAAAAGAAGATGGAGAGTCTCTCTGAGTTTGTTTCTCCGGATCTTCTCAGAAAGGTCTCCCAATTTTGGAACTGGTGGTAGTTAGGGTCAAATCTATACTTATAATAAATCTGTAGAGAGGTCAATTCTGTACATGAAATATATTTTCAAAATAACTATCAGGGGGTGATTAGTGATCGATACTGATGCCAAAAATGCAATCAGTAAATTTTTTGTCTGTCTGTCTGTCTGTGTGTATGTTCCTTATAGAAACAAAAACTACACGACGGATTTTAACGAAACTTGGTACAATTATTCTTCATACTCCTGGGCAGGTTATAGTATACTTTTCATCACGCTACAATCAATAGCAGCAGAGTAGTGAAGGGAAATGTTGGGAAAACGGGAAAAGTTACTCCATTTTTTAAGCTTCCGTCGCGGGTGCAGCCTTAATTGTTAAAGTTACATAAAAATCATGTATGACGGAAATATTCTACATAAAATTGTCTAAAAAATATCCCGCAACAGCATATGTCTATCTTTTATGGTTGACTCCCAATAACACGTGTAATTATATAAATAAAGTCACTGTTTATAGCACAAGCCTGAGAACAAAAACTATAGTTTACACTACAGCTCTACACTGAAGCGAAGCGAGGGCGGGCCACTAGTAAATAAATAAACTCAAAATTAAAAAAGAATTAAATGAACTGACCATAAATCTTCTATCTCTCGTTCCTCCGTGCTTCGGAAGGCACGTTAAGCCGTTGGTCCCGGCTGCATCTGCAGTCGTTAGCACCCGCCAATCCGCACTGGGCCCGCGTGGTGGGTCATGGCCCAATCTCCCTATTCCATCCATAGGGAAGACCTGTGTCCCAGCAGTGGGCCATTAATAGGCTGATGATGATATAAGATAAGTACAATGAACAACATCTCACCGTATCCAATTCCCTATTGTCCGCGGGTCCATTTGTCCGTCGTTCCACTTGTACATCCAAATGTCTGCATAGTTCATACTCCGGCACAATCTCTACCAAATACTTGCTCACAGCCCGTATTACGAACAGGGCGTTAAAAGTCTGCCAGGCTAACATCACACTGCAAAAACAGATATTTTGATAAATTTGAAAGATTGTATAATGAAAATATTACTAGAAAAAATTCCACGCCGACCAGGCAGCAGACGGGACTCGAACCCTTCGCTATCCGGGCGAATGCACTGACCATTATGCTACCGCTGCCCTGATGGCTTTGTCGAATCTTCTCTAGCCTTTTTTAGGCTGCAAGGCAGCGCCATCTCTTCGCATTGAAGGTAACCCACAATATCAAATGAATACCTTTACAAGGTATTAAACATTTGAAAGAAGAAATAGCAATTATAGTTATATCTTTTATTATTTAAGCATTTAACTGGAACTTATTCTAGTTAAATTTTCTTTATTTATCAACGACGCAATAAGCGACAACGAATTTGGATGAAATCTTTACCACATTATAGTTTTTGAAGTGAAACTTTTTAACGCACGCTTGACTTGGGAGGTAAGCTGGCGAATGCGTTACGCGTTACGAAAAGTGTGATCGGGCGAGGCGAACGGGAGCTGAATGGAGGATATAAGCAAGAGAAAGCAGTGTGCGCGCAAATTTTTTTTTATCTCTCTTTCTCTTATAGCTAGTAAATAAAATATGTATATGTACAGACATACATGTACATATTTACGTTTATATGACGTTGTATTTATATTATGAATGTAACACAATCGCTTCCATGCCCAAGATATGTCGTGCTGTCATTTCTGCTAAAGGACATGCAACCAAATATTGATACGGACCGGAAAGTTTTATAAATGTATTAGAATTATTGTGTTATAAAGATAATTTCAATTTTCTATATCTTCTAAACAAATCGAGTGTCTGTAATCAGCTGGCCAGCTATAAAAAATGGTTGCCTGTAAAGTCGGTTTTACGGGCGAAGATTTTACGTGACAACGTCTTTTTCTCGGTAGAATATTTATTGATATGAATATAATTAAATTGCACAATAGGAACAAGGAATTGAATGAAAATAAGAATTGCACAAATTTTAACTATAGAAATATATTTTGTTTACTAAAACATTGTACATGTAAACTTAAACTTAACACGAGAGACTCATCGTAACGTTACCGAGCGTTACACTTTTTCATAAGTGACTCCCAGCCGCAACCTAATTTAAGACGTTGTCACGTCAATACGTTAAAAAAGTTTGTGTTACGTTCCCATAGTGAGCAGTGTCTAAACTACTAACGAACTTAACTATATTTTGTCCCACATTGTAAGGATACAACGTCGTGTATAGTTTAATAACAATTACACTAGATTAAATACCAATTTTAGCTAATTTTAGTACCATAAGTAAGTCTTTCGTGGTCAATTTTGGAAGGGTCTTTAATAGGATATTTGACAAGTTTTAGAAAACAATCTCACGTTATTGACTAATGTTTATGGAGTCCGTAAATAGTGAATATTCATCATTTTGTTGTGTATTTCAGTAAAAATAACGAAAGCAGCGGACGGGACTCGAACCCGCATCCTTCGCTATCCGAGCGAATGCACTGACCAATTGCGATGCAATTTTCCTAGCCTTAAGCTGCAAGGCAGCGCCATCTCTTCGCATTATAGGTAACCCACAATGTCAAATGAATACTTTTTCAAGTATTAAACATTTGAAAGAAGAAATAGCAATTATAGTTATGTTTTATTAATTTTTTTAGCATTAAACTGCTAGATGTTTAAATCTAAAGAAAAGTTTTCGGCGTTGGAAAAAAATTTACCTTCACATTTTTTCGGTTACGCGTCACATTTTTCCGTTACGCGCCATCTTTTTTTATATTAATAGTTGATAGCTGAATGATCACATTGTCGCCGGCGAGAACTCTCTCTACTCGTTTGTAGCTGAGTGACAATAGTTATTACAGATAAGACTCGCTCAGCCAAACTCGCATAGCGATACTCGCTCAGCGGTACTCGCTCAGCGGTACTCGCTCAGCGGTACTCGCTCAGCGATACTCGCTCAGCGGTACTCGCTCAGTGGTACTCGCTCAGCGATACTCGCTCAGCGAGACTCGCCCAGCGATACTCGCTCAGCGATTCTCGCTCAGCGATTCTCGCTCAGCGATACTCGCTCAGCGATACTAGCTCAGCGATACTCGCTCGGTTAAGCTGGCTTGGCTGTCAAAAGCCGTGCGCGTGCAGTTTAACTCAGGACTGCCAATTCGTTTCTAGTTTCTACTCGCTTATCGTTCATCGTCGGAGGTGGAACATGTGCCTTAGATTACTGAGCCGTGTAATCATAACAGTTTCATAGGCAGTAATTTGTATTCATGTCTATGATAATAAAATCCTTTTGTTTAAACTTTATCTAATTTAACTTTATTTAACCAATTTCTGGAAAGTTGCATGTAGATCATTTTTCGAAAAATAAGGCCATAAAGAAGTTTCACTTCTTACATGTGTACGTACACTAGTACACGCACACATTTTTTTTTTCTAGTAAACTTTTCTTTAGGTTTAAACATCCATCAGTTAAATGCTTAAAAAATAAATAAAAACATAAAAATAACCAAATCAAAAACTCCATTTGCAAGTTGCCGCGAAAACGTTTCTCTTTACAATATGGCCTTTTACTAGTGTGTGACGTCACACGACTGTTATTAAAACGTCAAGCGATACAATGCAATGTCACTTTAACCGGAAGTTTACTTGCGTGTGACGTCATTTTGGGCTCCGCCAATCCCAAGCGTTTTGGGTCACGTGGCAATAGATAAGAAAACTATTATCTTTTTCGTGGGTTTTTAGTAAAATTATGAATATTTTTTTTGTAAAAATAGTAAAAACCCCTGCCAATATTCATTCTAAACACAGATGCTAACAATTGGCACTTTATTTTTAACACAGTCAAATACCCTATTATGTGACCACCACTGTATGAGTAATGCATGCGCTGCCCCATTCCCGTATACCTCATGCACCGCCTAATGTTAGGCTATTTAGGAAAACCAGTTTCACTTCAGATGTGTTCTCCGAGCACACACTATTTCTTTATGTTGTTTTAAAACGATTAAAGTCTAACATACTTGTCACTATTTGGAGTGGCCAGCAGCTCCGTAGCCCTGGTGATGAACACTTGCACAAGAGAGCCCAGGTTGCCAGTCTGAAGGTTGTTCTGGAGGAACTTCTGCAGCAGAGCTTCAGAGCTGGAGTCGAAAATCAGCTGTTCCTCACTAAAAGAATAAAACAAATAAAATTACTTCGGGCTATTTGCTAGAGAAACGTATAGATATATACAGGGTGTGACAAAAGTCCGAAATAAAACTTTAGGGTTTGGTTGTGTTCCTTGTATAGAATTACCTACGAAAGTTTGACGCCTTTCAGACCACTTTTATTTTTTAATTAAATTAATAAAAATATCGTTTTACACCTGCCTATGACAACCCTATAAATGCGTACGATTACTACTACCTAAACAGACCCCCCCTCTCTCCCCTAGGCGCCCCTGCGCTCCGCTCAGATACCTACAAATTTTTATTTCGGAATACATACCTACAAATTTTATTTCGGAATTCTGTAACACCCTGTATATATATATATATGTATATATATATATATATATATACATTAATTATTTAAGAAAAGAAGTCTCACTTCAGATGTGTGGTCTGTGCACAAAATTTTTTTTATTGACATATGCAGCAGAATTTTTAATTTAAGAGCCCTTTCACATTTTTTGCAATAAAACGTAATTTTTGAGCACCTCGTGAAGGGGGTAGAAGAAGTAAAAAGTAAATTTATTCTTGTCATTGAAAGTTAATGTAGAATATTTGCAAATACTATTTTCCTTTTGGAGTTTACTCCTTAAGAATCGATTTGCATATATAAGGGGCCCGGTATGAGAAAAATGTGAGGAGTGAAATCTATCGATGAATGACCTCGTTACGTTTTTACTGTCTACGCTGTAGCAGCCGTAGTGCTACACCGTAGCACAGTATCGTAGCGTACCTTTATTGCCTACGACGACAAAGAAACCGCGTCGGTGTACCACCGCGCCATTCGTTGAACACAAAACCATTGAGCTTTAGAAGTAAACGTGGAAAGGGCATTTACAGTATCAATTTTTTTAAGTTAAATAAACTCTTTTTGCGTCTGGTTAGACTATCGAATTTAAGGAGTAAACTCCAGTCGTGCGTCGGAGCTGACACACACAATTTTTTTTTTGTACTGATCGTTCTTCAAAAGCCTCAATCTCTTAATAATGTTCAATAAATTGGATCAAATTAATTACTACGACATCAGAAATATGTTTTTGTTTAACATAATGTATTAGAATTTTGAATTTCCATCTCATTTATTATCAAAAAGAAAATGATCTAACCTCCGTGTGTTTTCTCAAAAAATAATGCAGGTTTACCTCGTATTTTGATATTGAATTAAATAGAATTACTACCAAAAACTTTCATAAAACTAGTCTACCATTATTGAACTACTGAAATATGTATATATTTTTATAATTAGTTCATTAATAATTATTTTATAAGACTCGAAACATTACCTGTAAAATGCAATATATTCTAGTGCAAATCTATCTACACGCCGATCAGAACGGCAACGGCGCAATTTTGTAAAAGGGCTCTTAAGCACATTTAATGGAGTCACTGTATATTAAGAAATAACATGAAAATTTACAAAAACTTGCCAAAGAGCCTCTAATTGTGTAAATCGGTTCAGCAGTTAAGCATGAAGATGTAACAGACAGTCGTACACACTTTTACATTTATAATAAGTAGTATTATTAATTATTACTCACGCATTAGCGGGTGGGTTGATATTGAATGCCAGCATCTGATTCCAGAAAGGTTCGTTCGGGCACAACACTTCGTCAGAGCAGAACCTCGCCAACAGCTCATTTGAAGAAATCTCAGAGTACTTGCTAATGGCCACACCCATGGTTCTGTCAACAAAATCTTCATCAGCCTAATTATGCCTCAACTTAGCGTTGCCAGGCGTCTGGATAAAGCTGGACATAGTTAGGCTCTTTGATTGCTTGTCTGGCAAAAATAAATTAATATTTGTTTCTTAGGTTTTCATGCACATCATTCATTAAATAAAACTAGTTTTTCACGGGTTAATGCACAAAACTTTATTTATTGAAGTTATACTTCTTTAGGCGCGTTATGAAAAAATGATGAGAGTGAAATTTTAAGATGCGCGCGCATCACTGTAACACAAAAAATTAACAGCATGAAGTTGGTCGCTTTAGCTGCTATTTATTTTTTTATATGCTGTTTTATTGCTATTTTATATGCATTATTATATGCTGTTACTTTTGTGTTTACCGCACATTAAGAAAATCTACCAACAAAATAGAAATAGAATCTCTATTTTAGTGGGTGCTAACGACTGCATTGTGAAGGCCTATCAAAAGTATTTATTAATCTGGAACAACGGAACCAAAGCGCGATTCAGGAGACTACAGCGCCATCTCTTGACCATTGGTGTAGTAGAACCAAAAACCACATCTTTATTTTTTGTAATAAAGTAACAGTTATAGGTATTCATATTTATAATATTTATCCACATGTTTCTAGTTTGTATATTCGGAATACGTGTTTGAGTTTCATACAAGTGCAAATTACATATGTTCTAATAAATTATATTCAGTAGCGATTTTAATTGAATATTTTGATTATTTATTTATTTTTTTCAAATTAAAACTGAACTTTATTAACTGTGTCCTTTTCCAGACTTTTTATTAATTTATTGTAATTAATTATTTGCATGCAATTAAAAACTAATTTTAAACGATGCCAAAGAAGGATAACTTCTCACGCGCCTACATAAGTACACGCACCCATTTTTTATTGATGTTTCGCAAACGATTCCGACGAAGCAGCCTGTAAAGGCTGCGAAACGTCAATAAATAAATAAAGTTTCATGCATTAACCTGAGAAAACCTAGTTTTATTTAATAATAAATTAAGTTTAGAGAATTGCGCCCGAATCGACACCAATGTCATATTATTTTCATATCATAAAATATTTATTTCCCCCATTGCTGAATATAAAATTTTTATCTCGACAAACTTTTGATTCTATTTTTATCTCAATAAATTGTGTTCATATCTAAATAACATATTGCGAAAAATGTGTTATCCAAATGGTTCTTTATTTCATATTATACCGAACTGACTTGTTCATTTGAGTTTGTCATATTATAAGTTAGTTTTATTTTATTTCCATTATTAGGCAATCCAAAATGGTAACATTGTTAAAAAAAAAGAAACCTATTTTTGATATTTGTGGTACTACAAATGTGGGCAGATGTTTGGGTGATGAATACATGGACAGTCATGGATGTTTAATATGTTACTGTTACCCTAGTATCAGATAACACTAAATACACCCAAAGTAAGCACTGTAAGGCTATAGTGCTTACTTTGGGGCTAGGGTAATGAAGAAGTATACGCAAAGCTCAACGTAGATGGCGGTGCAAACACTTGACCCAAACCACAGCTGAATATTGCATGCATTGCATATTGTATTTTTGTTGTAAAAAATATTAAATAAGTTGTAAAATGTATTCAACATGGTCTGTAATACAACTGAAAACAGAGTTGAAAGGGAGAGGAGCATGCAAGGCAGAAAAGCTGATCTAGTAGAAAGGTACTCTTTCTATTATTATGCTAGAATGCACATGCTCAGTACATAGATGCATTTTGTGATTATTATTTTAATAGTTCATGGATCTCAGTAACTATAACCGGGCTCATTAGTCAAATCTATCTTATTTTTGCATCAGTCAGACATCTCATAGAGTTAGGTTACCTTTGGTTAAAATGGGAAGTATAACATTGAGTTTTTTTACAGACTTGAGGCATATGACCGCAATTTTTAATTTTGGTGCAGTTTTTTTTTTAATGAATATGAAGGTATCCGGATGCAATTACCTGCCTCAGATACATACTATGATGCAAATAGTGTCTCAGTTTTACCTCCCCCTTTCAAAGCAACATATAAAATTATATTTTAGTTGGTAAGCATGCAATTTTCTCACAACAACCAGGAACTGCACAATGCGGTATGCAAATCTGTAATTTGTCTAATAAAAAGCTTAAAAATGAATATAAGCTAAAAGGTTTGTATTTGATAGTCAAGCAATTACAGCGCCCCTAGCGGTCAAATTTTACAGATTTCTTGTCTTGTCCATTGGTAGGAGAGTTGGGAATATTTATTTATTCACTATTTATTTTAGCAGTCTTACTAAAGAACATTTAATAAAACTTTGACTGTAAGTAACACTAGGGTAATGAGTTTGAATTATTTTCTTTGTTAGATTCATAATAGTATATCAAATACTTCTGATTTACAGTACTTATGGGATAGCGAGAATTCCTGTAACAGATTTAAATCTATAAAATATCTTATCATTCGTTTATTTACTGTGTTATCTGTTTATGGGTGTGGAGACACAATGCTTCTGTTACAGATATCAGCTCCTAGTATAGGTATATATTTTATGCAATCGAATTTATTACAATTCTGATTCTGAAGGACTATCAAAACGAAAGGTTATACAAAATACAGTATATATTATCTCCAAAACTGTTCTAAAAGGATAAGAAAAACACTTCGAACATGAATGATAACATGATTTGACAGCTTTACATGTTTTGTGTTGTGATTTCAGTGCCAGTACCTTAATTAATCCATCACTGAAGAAATCCAGCTTAATTAAAGAAACGTACGTATAAATCAGTTTATAAGTATATTATACTAATTTCAAATTAAAGTTATAATCAGATAACATCAATGATAAAGCTTTTCAGTAAACAAAAAAATGCTATGGTTAAGAAAAATAATTTAGGAGGTTTATACTTGTAGGTTTCCAAATCGTGATTATAGCGAACTATAATTATACAAGAGTGTTCAGTACCTGCAGTTTTCACGGCGACAGTAACAAATTCAACATAAATACTAATATTTAATTAGAAATTACTGCGGAAAACAATCTTGGCCACGAAATCATCACCGATACAAATGTCAAAATCTGACAGTGACAATAATTGTCACTATCAGATTATTTTCATATTTTCTTTTAATAGGAAGCCAAAAGATACTTTGTCCATACAGCATAGCCCTTAATACTTATTTGCAATCACAAATATATAAGGGGGCCTATTCACAGCAGTCCACTTAGCAGTCCGCGGCTTTAAATAGAATTGTGAATATCGTCGCAGCCTGCATGGCGTCTGGCATCACCAAGCAGGTTGCGTCCGGCACGGTGGACTGCAATGCAGGTTTGAGCATGGGTTCCTTTAGGGTACGGCCACAGTGCACTCAGATTCAGATTCAGACTCAGAAAACAAGCGCGAGAAATAAACAGTGTAGTTAAAGCAGGGTGGCCATAGTGGCAGCAGGCCGCGCAGGTTTCGGAGTCAGACACTTTACCGGAATGTTTAGGTCATTCAGATTCTGAATTCACCAGCGCGGCTCGGACTGCAGGTAGGGTTGCCAACCCTCCTATAAAATATAGTATCCTACTATATTAGGGGATCAAATACTGATGTGTTGAAATTTTAATTTCCTAAGAGCAAACATATACTCGTATAAAGTCTTATAATAAATAAAACTGCTTAAGAGCCCTATTACAAATCTGCACTCTGCGAGAATGGGTATTTGAAGCGTTCCCGACAACTCATTGAAGGTCACGAGTTTACAATACTGTGTTGAACCTACGATCAAGCTATTTTGATACTATTTGCCAAGTTTTGCATATTTTTAGTATTTCTATGTAGTACACTGCGCTTCCCGGTTCGAAGTCGCCATTGAAGCTCCTTGGGACTCCATTTAATGTAGCAAGAGCAGACCCATCTCCGCTGGCAGCACCCATTAACCAGCATGACGCATGAACCAGCCATCGCTTCGCTCAACCATGTTTTAGGGAACATAACGATCCGCCTCACATGACACCGCCAAAGAGACTTTTAAGAGAGCATGACTACTCCCAATTACATATGGATACAAGATTGCAAATAGAAAAAAAAAATAAGTACCTGTATACATTATTACAAAAAACATAACTGCAGCAGGCCAATTATGCTCGCTATTTGTGATATTGTTTTGATGTCTATTTCACATTACGTATTATGCTCTCCGAAAAATGCGATATCAAAATGACATCAACTTATGCTATGATGATGATCAACTCTATAAAATGATATCAACTTAAATGCGTATTACGTTCAACTTTTTGACTTAAAATAGTATCGCTTAAACGTCAAAAATGTGATACAGGATATAATATTGATATGATCTTGATGTGACATAGGAATGTTTCATAATACCATCTAAAAACAATGTCAACTTGGCATCAACATCATATTGACATCACATTAGAATTTTATTACTGAAGCATAATTGACCCGCAGGACATATGCATGTGATTACCTATACACTATTACATCTTAAATAGAAAAATAATATGTAGTTGTTGACCTACACTTGATTGCTGTATCAAAAATTTATTAATTATCATTACAATAATCCAGTAGTGATAATGTCGGGATATTTTCTTTTTCCATCGGAAATAATAACGTTTTCTTGGCAGAGAAGTTATTCATTCTGAAACAGTGACATTATAAATGATTAGTGCTGAATATCTCTTATGCTTTAGCAGGGTTGATAGAGTTTCACATCAGGTTCACCAGACATTCGATTTTTAGGTCATTACAAAATACTCATTGTGTCTACATTTGTATCTCTTACAGTTTGGCTGGGCTGCTATGGTTCCAAATTAGTTATTCCTATCGTCAAAATAATATTTATTACAGAGGACGAATAGCAACACAAAAACAAATTTTCATTAAAATCATAAGAAGACAATTTAAAAAAAAAAATGCAAAATTGGCCCGTTTGCATTTTTATTATATGTTAATATTATATATGTATGGTATGCCAAAAATAATAAAATAAATATTAATATTAAAAGAATAATTGAACACAATGCTATGTAGATTCCATATAAAACAAACACTTAAAAGAATTATACTTACCTGATCAAAACTTGTTGGTCGCACTATACTCTGACGCTCGATCGATTATGGCGCAAAAAATGTGAAAAAAATTGACACAGGTCCGACGCTGAGGAGCGCTCACGCAGTACTGAGTTCGTTCGAACAACCGGCGCATCGCATTTTGTAGTAATTTTGCAGTTGTATTTATCGTATTAATTGAAATAAGTGAATAAATTCATGCTTTAAAATTATAAAATCTTTATTCCTCATGAAGATTCAACAATTGTTCTGGTATAAAATTTGCTTAGTAATATTATCGTAAATAGGAGTAAATCGCAATTAATTTTAAGCGATTTTCGAAGATTTTTAGGTTTAGAATAAGTTTTATTCTATATTAAATCAAAGATATTTCAAAATTCTAAGGCCGCCACGAACTATACGACTATATAGGAGATAACATTCTCATTTTTTAATTTAATTTGCTTAGAACAGTAGTTCAATCCAGGAGCTCAAAAAAGTGCCTTCGCGCATTTTTATGTAAATCTTTCTCTGCAATTTTGGATTTAATTAAAAAGTGAAGCAAAATTTACAAAAAGCGAGACCGCTACGAACTAGGCCAATAGTTATTCTGCACTATTCAATAGATCAAAATTGTTAATGTATATTTGTTTCTGAGATCAAGAACGCCAATTTACGCAAAAATCACAGTCGAGATGTAATATGCCTCTTAATTATTAGTAATTATCTATGTAATTTTTAGTGATAATATTTACTTTAAAATTTTAAAGTTTAACCTAGATATGCCAAACTCATTATTTTGTGTATAATAAAAAAATATTATTTATCATTTTAAATAATTTCATTAACATAGGTATCGATTCTGGCGGGATTCTCTAAACTTAAAACTAAATTTAACATCAATCTCTCCTTTTCATTCCGTATAGAGAATGACAAGGATACACTGTTGTCAAATTTAAGTTTAGGTTTAGAGAATCGTGTCAGAATTGACACCATACTGTTTTTTTGTATTATTAATGCATTGTTCCTTTATAGAATACTAGTGGCCCGCCCTCGCTTCGCTTCGGTGTAAAGCTGTAGTGTAGACTACAGTTTTTGTTCTCGGGCTTGTATTATATACAATGACATTCTTCTAATACCCAATTACAATAGGCACGCGCCGCCAAGCCCGGTAGCGTCGGAACCGCTATGTCCCTGAATTTTAAATTTGTAATATCTTCGAAAATATTCATTTAAATTATATGCTTTAAAGGGCAAAATTGTTCTATATTAAATGCACAATGTATTTAAGGTACTTAATTGGATAAGGATGAATGTTATATTGCTTAAAATCGCTTCGTAAATAATCTATTATTTCTCGTAAAAAGTATAGGATAAAAATTGGTTATTGTGGGTTATCTTTAAGCGATAGACATATACCATCGCGGACTTTTTTGTAGACCTTTTTAAGGTGTACAATACTGTAGTACATTATTTTGATCTATCTCGTGGGGTTCAGCCAGCGTTTGCAATGTAAGCGCAAAAATGTGTTTATTTACGACCTTACATTAAAGACCTATAAAATTATCAGTGTTTCTCTACTATATTATGCATGTATTATACATATAAACCTTCCTCTTGAATCACTCTATCTATTAAAAAAACCGCATCAAAATCCGTTGTGTAGTTTCAAAGATTTAAGCATACAAAGGGACATAGGGACAGAGAAAGCGACTTTGTTTTATACTATGTAGTGATAAACCATACAAATTATTCAAATTACACTACCCTCGCGAATCTAGACCCAGCTTTCCGGTTAATCCAGACAGTCTGGTCCCATCAAATCCGGATTAGTGAGATTGTAATAAATTCTTACCTAATGGTTATAACAAGGCGTTCTCCTGGAAGAATCTTGTGTTTGTGCAAATTACACCAATTCTTCATTATCTGAGGTTTAATTTTTTTAAATGTTGTAGAACGTTTCTACTTCTATCCTAAAATATTGGAAGAAACGTTTCCTATCGACTTTTAATTGGGGAAACAACTGGTGGTATTCCCCATATTCACTCCTTAATCTTTTAATTTCGTGAACACCGATTCTCTCACGTTTTAATTTATAATGACAACTATCAGTAGCCATTAACAAGCACGCTAGATCTTCATTAGAAAACTCCTACATGTTTACAACTGCGAAAACACCCCCCAATTTAAGTTTCTGGATCAACAGCTTCCAACGCGTCGAATGAGAAAGAGAGACTGTTGAATGACAGACGATTGCGACTTTTTACAGATTAAAAGTTTATGAAGTGGTTTTATTTTTATATAAAAAAAGTAATAAAGAAAACCCCCGTTTCCCCCAAAACTTAATTTCTTTCCCCTATTAATCCCCCCATCGCTTTCAAACCCCCCCAAATTTGGGGTAAATTAACTTTCCTTGATACTTTATTATTAACCGACTTAAAAAGGTGGAGGACCTTAATTATATGGTAATAATAGATTACGATGATTCAGTTTTAGGATTCCGTACTCAAAGTGTAAAAACGGAGCCCTATTGCTGACATTCTGTCGTCTGTCTGTCTGTCTATACATTGTAAACGGAATGAGCTACAGAATTTAAATTTTGCCATTTGTGTAATGCTTGCGTTAACTCGAATTTTAAGTTCACAATTTTTAATAGGGGTCTCATACACGTGATGCATCATTGTCTAGAGCTCGTTGAGTAGGATGTGAATATTTGTTACCTATCGGGATGGGGTTCGTAATTATAAAGCCAGTTCACACTTGACAGTTTAACTCAACGGTCCCTGTCGGTCAACGGTTGTGATTTTTAAACTATTTTTGCTACGTGGTCTATTTAAAAATTCTTAATTAGTTCAGAATGTGAAAATTTCGTTTGTGCCTAATGCACATCACATAGGTACCACAACTTCTATTTAAAATAGCAACAAACACTGAAAATGCCTATTCATAACGCACTTTGTAAGTTGTGATTAAAACAAACAAATGGTTTTTCCTTTTGCGGTATATTGCAAATTGCGATGTAGGTACCGCTCGAGCTCGGAAACAAATTATCAAATAACTCAGGGATTTAGGTAGCTTCAATAACAGGATTA